AGGACCCCCCCTTCTCCCCCCGATAATCCCTCGAAAAACCTCTCCGAAATCTTTTGACCATTATAACTCTTTTAATATTCGTTTTGGTTTTGGATTTGTACCTGAAGATATCTATTCGTCCGCATTACAATGGCCGTGTATTGATTCTGGTTGTTATATATACCTGCACCTGCTCCAAAATTCATCAATTTTGATTTAGTCCAAAGCAAGAAAGAAGAAGCCGTCGAAGATTTAAGACCGCTACACCTCTTTATAATAAGTCTTGGTGTACAAACCGTCCTACTCGTTGTTCCATCGACTGTGATGAACTTTCTCTTTCTGTAGTCATTTGATAATATTGGCTTGACAATACGATTGGACAAAATGTCGGCGTCTTCGGATGAGGAGTGCGATGTAGCCGCAGACGTTCCTACAGCAGATGAGGATCTGGAAAGGAAAATGGCTGATACTAGTGCGGAGACTTTTGCCCGGCGTGTTGTTCTTTCCTCTGTAAATCTCGACATCAGCGGGTTCCAGACGCTGTCGTTTCCGCATCCATGTGATACATCGAAAACGGCGGTTTTTTTAAGAGCGAGGCAGAAGGTCAAGGTCTTGACTTCATCGTCCTCCAGTACGACATCTGGGGACGAGGAGACGCGGCGCGACCACGAGCTGACAGTTCCAGTTTTGCTTGAGTTGCAGACGATGGGACGTCGGAAGAAAGGCTCGTTTTTTGTTGGCGATTCGGTCGTCTCGGATGGAACCTTTTATGTGGCTACACCGATTGATCCTCTTTTCGTAGCAATCCCGTATCTACTTAATGCAGCACCGTCCGCAGCGGAAAAAAGTAGTACATCTACTACTGGAGAAAATGCGCCGGATTCGGATTTCAAGATGGAGGAATTCCAAAGTCTCATTCCAGAAAAGTTTTTACGTCAACTCCTCTGGCCAGCTGCAATAACGTCTCCTAGTACAACTGGAGACGCTGATCGTCATGATGTAACGGAGTCTTCCCCAGCGCCAACGCCGAGTATTGAATTGATATGCGAGACACGGGAAGTGCTAGACCGCTTCTTCGTACGTCTCTCGAAGAAGAAGTTGCAACACTGGCTGCTAGGCAAGCTGAGGCGGATCTTCGATACGTTTTGCAGTAGGGAGATCTATATACGAGAGTGTTGTTTCCGCACGTCAACTGACTCTGTGGGAGAATTCGTCATCGACCAGGGCAGGGCTTTGGAATTAGCCTGTGAATTCCTCGAGGGCTACCTGACACCAGTGCACGCAAAGTTGCTACGAGCCGAGGTCGTTCCGCTCATGTCGATGGGCTCAGGCTTGGGTCTGAACAAACCACTCGAAAATAGTACGTCTGGTACTGGTAATAGCAATATTCATGCTACCTCATCAATTGGAGGCGGCGCATTTTCCATGAGTCGGATCGTCCCGACAGAATCGGATGCGGAATTGATTCAGAAAAGACCTCTGCCAGGTGAGAAGGGGGGCGGTGCGAATAATCAACCAGCGGCGAAGAAACCTAAGGCCGCAGCAAAAAAGCCGGAAAAGGTCCAGTTCAAGGACCCGAAACAGCTCTCGATCTTTGACCTCATGAAGCGAAATGCGTCAGGGAAGGATAAGAAGTAGAACAGTGGATGAGAAATGGGAAGCGGGAGAAGAACACGAAGGACCAAGATGCATATTATGGCAAAGGAGGAACAGTCCCAGGTTTATTCTGATGTGAGACTCTGTTTTCTCCAGAGTGATCCGCGAGTGGACTACCGCCAGCGTACAGACAAGCCATGACGTACCACGACACCGATGCCTCGGTGAAGAAAGTTTGACCTCAAGCGTTCGCGCACATGATCTCAGTGTGGGCACAATCACCAGTGGCAAAGATCGGAGCGAGAACTGAGAGTTGCTCGACGTGTGAGATGTTTTCACGGTCACGAAAATGGAAGAGTCACGGAACTCCTCGATGTTTTGAGAGAAAGTTTTAATTCTGGCATTTCTATTTCAAGTAAAGAAAACTGTAGAAGAAGCGATGTTGAAACAGGTAAAAATGCAGCTACGATGTGCATAAAAGCTTTACAACGAACATATTCAGACGAGAGACAGTTCTTCTTAAGCGACATCCTTCGAACAGAAAAGAAAAATGAATCGTGCGGCTTTCGTACCCACAAGTAAGAATGCGGTCGCTTGTATACTGCAGCGCGCGGAGCCGGCGAGCGTTGCGATATCAGCATCCTTGTCGCAACGTCCTCGAATCATCATGCCACAGCCACGCCGGATGCCATTCAAGTACTCAGAGCATGACAAGATGTTCGATGACCGACATAAGAACCCTGCAGTGAAGAAAATCGAAAAGGAAGATGCTCACGGCGAGGATATTGTTGAAGATAAGGCGGCGTCATCGTCTTCATTCTCATCCCCGTTAGCCTTTCCAGAGGAGGATCCACTGACTGACGGCTTGGTGAGAGTTGCAAGAGATAATCTAGGTGGAAAGGTTTTGCGGGTGTGCTCGACGTTTGAAGACCTCTTCTACCACGTTCGACGCTCGTTCAAGCGACTGCATGGCACAGGGCGTCGGAATCTGCCACGTACCAAGATCCATGGCGCACAGTTCTTGCAAATGCTTTACAACTTACGACTGGTGCCACCGAAACCTGCTACAAACAATAACAACACGATACTAGCAGCCTCTGGTGACAGCGTCAGTTGTAACATTTCTACGAGAAGAGCTTGGGCCGTTCGTGGGCTGACAACGGAGTCAATGATCGCAGCAGTGCTGGAGGAGAACAACAAGAAGCCACTCAGACCCGGCGTGCACGCGTCTCCTGGCAACGCGACTGAAGTAGAAGCCCCTTTCTTTTGCACTGGACGTCGACGCTCAGGGAGAAGAAAACATCTGTTGAGGAAAGTATCTGCTAACGCAGAGAGGAAAAAGCTTTGTTTGGAACATGCAGATGAAAATTTTGAATGTGAACACGAGAACGAAAAGAAGAGAATTTCTTCTTCTTTCACTGATGGACTGTCAATGAAGAATTTGCAGCATCATAGAGTAACGAACACGCGAGGTCAGCGCAAAGCAAAGCCCATGACGGAAGAGCAGCGTGACGAGCAGCGGCTAGCAAGGATAGGTACGCACAACGACCCGAAAAAGGAGCTCATGTCGTCACCCGAACTGCTCGATTTGATGATACATCGCGGTTACTATTGCAAATTTATCGAGAAAAAAGTCAACTCAGCTGGTCCCGGTCGACCACCGAAATTGTCACTGGAGGATTGCAAACGATGGGCAGCATATTTCTATCTCCTCAAGCTTAAGCGGGACGAAGCTGCTGTGGTGGCGCAAAAGAATAACAGCTCGCAGACTCAGACAAGTAAAGCTATGATAGGCTCCTCTACGTCCACTGCGAGGAGCAAGCCAGACTCGAGAGTAGAACACCGCAACAACAGTACTCAAGACATCAAATACAAGTATCTGCATCCGAAGACGTTCGACCCGCTCGCCGCAGAGAAATTAGGGTTGAAAATCACAACGCAGCGGAGGCCAAGTACACGCTACAAGAATCGACCACGGGAGCAGCCGCGATGTGTCTACTAGTACAGCTACTTGTTACAACCTCCTGTCGCGATCTTCTATTTTTCTCGATGAAGAAGTATGTACTTGTAGATCATGCAGCTGGCTTTCATGGACGACGTACGTTGTTGCTACTTTTATCACGCAATCCGCAATTCCAATATTTATTGGTCCGCCGGAGCATAGGAAAATCTCATCCGGCGTTGTCGGCATTGATCGCTGTGCCTAGCCCTCTAGAGGTATAAGTGTTCGTCGTCAACATAGAATGAGGGATACGAATAGAAAATTTTATTTAAGTCTCTTTCGAATTCGAAGCTAGCATTATCATGAGTTCATTCATTCTGAATAAATGAGATTGCTCAAAAGAATCGATGAGATTGAGACGATCGATCATGTTGTTGACGAGTAAGAGAGAAATTATGACTGGCGACGAGAGAGTGAAAGTAGGCTTTTGTCTGTTTTTTTGGGCGGTGTTCTGTTTTGAAAAAAGATATAGGTATTTTTGTGGCGCATCGTTCTGACTATGAGAGATGGGACCTACCTACTTGTCTATGGTTGTGCGTATGAACTCAGGTGAAAAATTGTCCCTTTAATATCATTGAAATCGGAAAAAAAATGCAGTGCAGGAGGGAGGGAGCTTGTGGCATCTCCACACAGTTTTACGGGTTTTTCTTGCTAATTTTTTATCCTTGACTCAAGCGTCATAGTCTTGTAGTTCCGTTTTTAAGGGAAGGAATAATATCAAAGATAGCCTCAAGTTCTAGTACAAAACAAAAGTCTTGATGAAGATTTCTTTGTTCACCAATAATTGTTGAACTAGTTTTCGTCAGTCGTCGTGATCTTATTCGAGTCGAATATATGCTTAGAGTAGAAGGCTCGTGCCCGTTGTAGTTCTAGTTGCTCAAAACTTCTACTCGAAAAGCAAAAGAGAAACAAGATATCCTCGATTGTCTCTTTCCCTCTATTAAAGAAACAAATATATATAGTGCATCTTCTCAACAAAAAAATCGTCCATAAGCATCCGTGTTGAACTACTCCTTGGTTGGTTTTTAGGTGTTAGTTTTGAAATAAGCGAGGTTTTTTACTTCAATCCGAAAATTTTCCAAGATGTTGGCCCGTAACTTCGTTCGACGCTTGGCACCGCGGGCGCCGCCTGTGGGTGCCCGAACATTTTCCACCGCAATGCAGGAGTTCAAAGTCTACAGGTACGACCCGGAAAGTCAGCAGAAGCCAGAAATGAAGAGCTACAGCATCGACCTGAACACATGTGGTACTGAACTTTTTCTTGAGCAGATTGTTTTTGCTACTTCTGTACTTCATAACATTGGATGGCCCAGTGCGTGTACGGTAGGCCGTCCTGAATGGGCTCACTTTGGTCTCTACGTACTTGGTACTGCTTACTCATGGACAAAAATGATGATCCTGTTTTCTTCCAACATAGTACTTCGAAACCGTCAAGGTAACCCTGATTCGTTTTCATCCCTCATTTTCATTCAGGACCCATGATTTTGGACGCAATATTGAAGATTAAGAACGAGGTCGATTCGACTTTGGCTTTGCGCAGATCTTGCCGTGAGGGTATCTGCGGTTCCTGCGCGGTGAACATCAATGGTACATTGATCTTGCTATTAGATTCTGCATTTTCCTTGTCCGTCGGGGTTGTAGCACCAAAAAATCATGCATGTTTTACGACATAACTTTCTGCGAAGGAAGACGAGCCAAAAACAGTCGTGGCAAATCTTGATATAATTGCTTGCTTTTATGAAGCAAGCTCAGGCATTGTTTGTGAACGCGTCAATCACATTGATTCTAAACAGGTAAAAACGGTTTGGCATGCCTGGAGTACATCGAGCCAGGTACGAAGGCTATCGAAATCCAACCGCTTCCACACACGTAATACCTTATGAATATATAAGATATACCTTCTGTCTTCCTTTTACCGTAGCGCCAACGGCAGATTCGTTTTTGTGTGAAGAAGTAGTATGAGAATACAGCAACAAGAAACAAAGCAGGAACAATAATTAGGTGCTGCTGCTGGTGCTTTTCTCTACCTATCAGTTTCTCTTTCGCGACCATGCTTACTACAGGTACGTGTTGAAGGATTTAGTGCCGGATCTGACGAATTTCTATTCGCAGTACAAATCCATCGAGCCCTGGCTGAAGCGTAAGGAGGCGAAGCCGACAGGACCTAACGGCGAAGAAATCGAGTACCATCAGACACCGGAAGAGCGACAGCTTCTCGATGGCCTCTACGAGTGCATCCTCTGCGCGTGCTGCTCGACCTCTTGCCCGAGCTACTGGTACAATTTTGAGTTGAAATTTTCTTTCGATTTTTTATGATTGATATATTTGATGTTCTGTGCAGCTGGTAAGATTATCTGATAGAAGATAATTGATGTTCTGTGCAGCTGGTATCTGATAATAGAACAAGAAGTAGAGAAATTCTTGTTTTTCTTGTTCACTGGAATCGATGTCATCAGATTTACTCATCTCACTCATCATGTTGGTCAAAAAAGTTATGGTAGTCTAGATTCGATTTCTTTTTGCGTGATGCCTACTAAAAGGTGGAATCCGGAGTACTACTATGGTCCGGCCGTGCTTCAGCAGGCCTACCGATGGGTCGTCGATAGCCGTGATCAGTTTACGGAAGAGCGTCTTGCGTTCCTGAACGACACTATGCGCCTCTACCGTTGCCACGGCATCATGAACTGCACTTCCTGCTGCCCGAAGGGTATTTGTTACCTCTATTTTTCTGCACTCGTTGTCGTTATCGTCATGGTCATTGTCAGATTGATGAAAATCAATTCACAAATGTATACTTATTAAGTAGCTATTCAATTATTCATTCAATTTGTCAAGAACTACGTTGATCCGACGGACTACTTAAGCATCATTTGCCCCTGCACCTTTGTCAGGTCTGGATCCCGCCAAGAGCATCGTGCAATTGAAGAAGTTTGTAGAAGAGAAATACAACCCAGAGTGGGAGAACAAGGTAGCTGAGGAGATGAAGCAGAACGTCAACCGCGCTGGTGGTCTCAGCTATGCCTAAGCTGCTGGGCTTAGACGGATTTGAAGAGACAGGATTACTGGGTAGACGAAAGAAGAAGAACTTCTAGAAGATGAAGAAGAAAACAACTTCTCAGCAGGGTTGATTGGCAGCACAAATTGAAAACACAACAACTACTTACAAGAACTTTTTCTGTGGATGTACAACTAGGGTGGAGGAAAATTAATTGCATTCGCATCTTCGAGTGTTAGTGTACAGATGAAGGCACAAGAAAAAGCAGGATGGGGATCGATTCGCAGAACTGGTCGACATCCAAACGGTGCCGCATATCAGGAGGAGCTATGGATATGGGTGCATTTTCGAAGATGTGGAAGCACACCTAAATAAATGATCTCAAAATTTTTCAGGACCATCATGATCATATTGTATTTACTAGTTATCGGATACGGATGCAGATCTATCAAATTAAAAACCAGTCATTCTGGAATATTCAACATCGAGCCAGACTATGCCAGAAGATGAACAAGATGAATTTCATCAAAGTTACTGAGATACAAGCACAAGGAACAAGAAACAGGTCAATTTGAATGTAGAACGATTAGCACAGAAGTAGGACGGGTCGTCAGTAGTTGTGGAAAAGAAGGACGACTTTTTGATAGCTTTATTACAGTACTAATTGATTCTAGAGGAAATAGTGATGTATTATATTTTTGAGATTGTACTAGTCCCAGTAACCACTTTCTTACGAATATTACACAAGGAAGGCACCACTCCGTCGCCGGTAGCATCATGAATGTTTGTGGTATCTATTTTGCTGAAATGAAATTAGGTTCTTCATCACTCAACGAGGAGGAGTCTCGAAGGGGACAGAACCAATATATTGATTCCAAAGCAGCATGACCAACATGGATGAACAACAGGCAATGCACCGCTTTGGATGTGTTGTTTTCGCTGCAGCGACAAACGGAACGGCGCGCACTAAATCACTGATCCTATTAGGGTTTTGCCGTTTTGATTTGCTCAGGATGAATAGAGACCGGACATTAAGAAGTTTGAGTTACTCTGAGGCATGGTGGCCATACCTTACAAAATTATGCAGCATGCGGACAACTACAACTATTTAAGAAAGGACCTAATTTTTAGACTTCTTTTGACTTTTCTTTGGTGATCAGACGAAATATATGTACCTACGGCACACCAGCATCAAGTTTACTACCGACATCTTCATCAGTGACATAGATTAAGCAGACATTATCATCTAGTCTTACTGCAACTCATCAACATGATGCATGCATCAGTGAATAGGACGTTTCAACAGTTTTTTGAGAAGGATCCAATTTGGGCCAGGTTACCAGCGTCGAATTTCCTCAACGGTAACGATAAATGCCGTTGTTCCTCCTCGATCCGGTGGATTTTCCTTTATAGCTTCACACAGCACTTCCACCGACTAGAAGTTGTAGTGGAATACAGAAGTAGGTGGATGTACCTCTCTACAGCGGTTGATGTGGTGCTAGCTATTATACATATTTATTCGATTGTGAGATACACCATCATTTAGTGCAGCCGTGTAGTGATGCAGTGACAATCTTTATCTTAGATATGCTGAATAATGGAGTTCGTTATTTTTTTTCTGAATCGTTTCCGTCTTATCGACTAGCCTCCACAAGCTTCGCCCGGCTTCAAGTTAGTTTAGCACTTTTCTGCGGCCTCCCACGGGCTACAGCCGCTAGAGTTGTAGAGACAGCCGGCGGGTGAGCTGATGCACCTTACGAATTGACTACGACAAGAGCCGAGTGCCGGCGGTGGCCGACTCAGATGCGTCGACTCATGTGCAGGGCATTGCGCTGCCTTCGGTTTTTTTTTTGAGATTGCCGGGCGGGTCATGCAAATTCTTAAGAATTTGCAAGACCCCCACGGCAGTCCAACAAAAAAACCAGAAGAGAGCCACCAGACACGCACAAGAATCCGCAAGCCCCAACGCACGCAAGCGCCTCGCGGTGGCGCCAGGCAAGAACGAGGGGCGACCTTGATGGGCCAAACAAGACAAAGCAACGCAGGGCCGCGCTGCTTGGGTCTCTCTACGCGCTTACACCTGGCGGGGCTTCTTTGTTTCGTCAGATGTCTCTCGTCAGAAACAGGCGGGCGCACTTCGCGGGGTCGTGCGGCGTCGCGCTTCGGGCTGTGGCTGAAGCCTCTCGGCTGGCTGACGTCTTTCACCAAGCTGGAGACTAAGGCTCTCCATCAGGCTGATGCTGTTCGTCAGCCCAACGCTCTGCGCCAGGCTGGCGGCGTTCGTCGGGCAGGCCGGCGCCCCTCGGCAGGCGTCTTGGGTCAGGCTGAGGCTTTTCGTCAGGGTCGGGCGACGTCTCTCGTCAGGCTGAAGCGCTTCGCCTGGCTGACATTCCTCGCCGGGCCGAGACTCACGCCTTTGGTCAGGTTGATGGCTTGCTTCAGCTCGGCGCCGTTCGTCAGGCTGATGCACTCGCCAGCCAGGTGAGGCCTCTCGCCAGACCGGCGCAATGCTTCGCCAGGCGTCTGCCTTGCGTCGGAGGGAACAGGCTGAGCGGGGCCTTTCTTCGGGCTGCGGATGTCTTTCCTTCGTAAGATTGACCCCGTTCTTTCGTCGGACTGACGTGCTTCGCCAGATTGACCGCGTTCGCCGGACTGACGTCCTTCGCGAAAGGTCTTCGCTATCTTCAAGGGCCTCGCGCCACAGGGAGGCCTCGCGTCAGTTTTTCTGGCGGAGGTCGTTCGTCAGATGTCTGCTGTCGCGGGTCTCACTCTTGTCGTGTCGGAGGTCTTGGGCCCAAAGGTCGTCTTTGGTCCACGCACAGGTCGCCGGTGGTCCACAGGTCGCCTGTGGCCCAAAGGTCGTCTTCGGTCCAAAGGTCGGCTTTGGTCCAGAGGTCGTCTGTGGTCCAGAGGTCGCTTTTGGTCCAGCGGCCGTCTTTGGTCCAAAGGTCGCCTTACTTTGGTCCAAAGGTCGCCCTACTTTGGTCCAAAGGTCGCCCTACTTTGGTCCAGAGGTCGAAGGGTCGCCTTACTTTGGTCCAAAAGTCGCCCTACTTTGGTCCAGAGGTCGGCGCACTTTGGTCCAAAGGTCGGCTTACTTTGGTCCAAAGGTCGGCTTACTTTGGTCCAAAGGTCGCCTTACTTTGGTCCAAAGGTCGCCTTACTTTGGTCCAAAGGTCGCCCTACTTTGGTCCAGAGGTCGCCGGGTCGCCTTACTTTGGTCCAAAAGTCGCCCTACTTTGGTCCAGAGGTCGGCGCACTTTGGTCCAAAGGTCGGCTTACTTTGGTCCAAAGGTCGGCTTACTTTGGTCCAAAGGTCGCCTTACTTTGGTCCAAAGGTCGCCTTACTTTGGTCCAAAGGTCGCCCTACTTTGGTCCAGAGGTCGCCGCACTTTGGTCCAGAGGTCGCCTGTGGTCCCGCGGTCGTCTTCGGTCCCAAGGTCGTCTTTGGTTTCAAGGTCGTCTTTGGTCCCAGTGTCGTCTTAAGTCCCAAGGTCTCCTGTGGTCCAGAGGTCGCCTGTGGTCCAAAGGTCGCCCCTGGGTCAAAGATCGCCTTTGGGCCAAAGATCGTCTTTGGGTCAAAGATCGCCTGTGCTCCAAAGGTCGTCTTTGGTCCAAAGGTCGCCTTTAGTCCGAAGATCGCCCTTGGTCCAACGGTCGCCCTTCGTCCAAAGCTCGTCTTTGGTCCAAAGATCGGCTTTGGTCCATGTGTCTTTGGTCCAAGGTCTTTGCCCTTTCGGTGGGCGGTCTTTCGTTGGCTGTCTCTCTTTGGACTTTTCTCCCCAGCTTGCGCCCCCACCCCCGTCGGCCATTTTTCTGCCTTCTTTTCTGGTGGTCTGCCACGGGGCCGCAACGTAAATCCCAACAAGGAAACGGCCGGAGGCTATCGGGCTTGAGACTGAGGGGAAAGGGCAGGAGACTATGGGCAATAGCTTCGCGAAAGAAGCTGACTAATCTCCGGTGGGTTAGGCGGGGAGTTTTATGGCGGCGATCAATGGCGAGATTAATAATATAGATTAATAATATAGATTAATAATATAGATTAATAATATAGATTAATAATATAGATTAATAATATAGATTAATAATATAGATTAATGATATAGACTAATGATATAGATTAATGATATAGATTAATGATATAGCTTAACGATATAGCTTAACGATATAGCTTAACGATATAGCTTAACGATATAGCTTAACGATATAGCTTAATAATATAGCTTAATAATATAGCTTAATAATATAGATTAATAATATAGATTAATAATATAGATTAATAATATAGATTAATAATATAGATTAATAATATAGATTATTTTTTTGTTATGTTTTTTATCTATCAACTTATAATAATTACGATGTAAAAATGGAATTATAGAGGACTTCATGAGAAGCCCTAGCACGATGTCATTCAGCATAAAACACTTCGGAAGAAGCAGAACTCGACTTTAGGAGAAGGAAGGTGATTATAGATTTGTGACGTCAATAAATGTGTGCAGTGTTGGATAGAATTCCAAAAGCTTTCCTTTTCAGGATGCTATAAGAAACGAAGGCAAAAAGCAACATAAATGTACACGAAAATGAATGAATGACAGGCATTTTAGCTAGCATTCAGGATTGAGAGTTTGAGAATAAACCAGACGCAGGATACTGAGTCTGCCTGCTTTTGTAGGCAGAAAAACAGTGTGCTGTTTGAACAGAACTTGTCGTGTTCTACATGTTATGGACGAAACCTGATGATGAGACCTGAACTCTGACCTCTTGCACTCAAAATTGAAGATGAAAGTGCCACCCGGACCGGGTAATATAGGATGCGGGTACAGAGAGAGTAACCGTGTAAGTACGCAGATTTGTTTTTCTTTTGCCCAGTGTCAGTTTTTTGACTTTAGATGAGCTGATGAACAATTTGTAGGCATATGTTTATTGATTCAGATTCTTCTATCTTCGTTGGAGGAATGTGATGAATGAGCTGAGTAAGTAATGTGATGTAGAGACCTAGAAGGAGCCAAAAGGAGAGAAAGAAGAGGATGTTAAGCTTGAGCAATAGCGAACGGCAGCTCATCCTCGAGTATCGGTCTCGAGTGGCTGCAGCAAAAGCGAAGAGAAGTACTACATCAAAAGCCGTTCTTTCCGCTTCCTCCGACACGGTCCGGAATAGCACTGAGGTCGTTGTCGCGGCTGATGGCGTCTACTTGCGGGACCGACGTGATAACAGCTTTCGACGTGTCCGTAACAATCCCGGACGCACAACTGAAGATGTGAGAGACGAAGCCAGCGACGTCGAGGCTAGTTTCGGTGATGCGGCGACCGCCGCCGCTGATGTTCACGGGAGCAATCCGCCAAGGGACAGCGTCCAGCACGACGCCTTGCAATCGACGAATGGAACGGAAAGTTTTGTGATCGATGGCAAGGGTGCTGAAAGTGGAGGGCCTGAAAATAATGGAAACAACCCTGCTAAAAAAATTTATGATGATCAAGCACGACAACGAAGCGTGGACCCAGTCGATGATGTCGGGGGCTTGTATAATTCCTACTTACGCGAGAGTATTAACTCTTCCATGTGCGGTCCTCCCGATGTTCTTGTCGAGGGGAATGACGATTTCCTAAAGACCCCCGCAGCAGCGTCGAAACAAGTACGAAGATCAAAAATCCTTGGTACGTCCACGGACCGATGGGCCCCTGAGAATTTGGGTCAGCACAGTATGAACAAGAGTGCAAGCTCCTCCAAATCTGTCTCCACAGCCGTCCCCGCTACATCACACACTGGGTCGAAGGTGACGTCGGAGGTAGATCTTGGCGGACCCACTTTTGACGCAGAAAGTCAAAGTGCCGAAGCAGCTGCCTTTTCGCGTCTGATGGCAGCAGCGCCAAGACAGGCACAAACGCTTGAACAGAATATCCGACCGCAACCTAGACTTTTCAATATGCCAGAGTGTACTAGTAGTGTCTCCTATGACAAGGGTCCTTCTGTTCCGCAAGGAGGACAGCAGGACGCAACAACAAGCAGCATGCGTAGAAGACACGAGGTTGCGCACAGAGACGCAGGCGTTAGCCCGACCACTTCGTTTGCATACTCGAGACCACTCTCCGCAGCCTCTTCGCGAATCATGAAGGAGCGGTCCTCTATTGGGGGGACATCTGGAGATGCATTCCGGGACGACCTCTCATACTCTTTTCGCGGTCCGAGGCCTCCTGCAGAACGTCCCAGTCCTCTTATGCGTTGTACTAGTACGCCGATGCTTCCTTTCGTTGATGAAGCGGCGCTCCAAGATTTGAGACGCTACAAGTCGGAGAGAGTTTTGCTTCCAAACTATGTTGGTGAACCTGAAACATTGATGATGGATCACGACTGGAGGACTCAGTCAGGACCGGATAACGTAGGTCTTTCTCTCCATTATCGAAGCAGCGGGCAGTATTATGAACAAAACGTAAACCGCTCGGCGTCGTTTGGAGATGGGGATCATCTGAGAACAATCAGGAGTACAACAAGCAATACCGCAAGGTTCTGTTCACCGCATCGGCACGCGATTCCTCGTACAACCTTGGCGCCAGAAGTAGCGACACCGCAGGGCTCGCGTTTGTACGAGGACTACGGGAGAGACGCGTTTACACTACAACAAGTACACGATATGGCACCTCACGGTATCATCTTCAACAACCGAATACAACAGTATCATCCATCAAGAGACAATATGCAACCGATTAAAACCAACAGAATACATGATAATGCAGGGTGTGTATCAAGATTAGATAGTCAAAATAGAAGAAGAGGACTCGTTGATCGGCTGCCACCCTGGAAGATGGTGCAATACCAACCCTTGCCGCGCCAGCCCTTCGCGGGTTCTTACAGCTACTTGGGTCCACGTGGGCAGATTTTTCGCCGAGAGCCCACACCGCCGAGAAAAGGTAGCTTGCGAAGCGGTCAGAGCCGCGCGACATCTTTGGATTCACAGTACCGGCGACCGGCATGGCGCTCGACGAGTCGCAATGCGCCTCCACCACAGTCGCTTTCGTCACGTCCGGGATCACGATCAGCCTTTCGCTTGGGACCACGTGACGGCGCGCAAGATTTTCGTTTCCATGATGAACGCAGTCTTGGAAGATTCAGAAGAGATCATCAACGACAACACTATGCTGGCCATCTGCACACTTTGACGAGGGACAACTACAGTGACCACACTGGTGCCACGTATACATACGGACCTCGCGGTCCTTTTACTGCCTCTGATTTCGCCGCTTTCTACCCGGCCAGCAGGTCTAGACTCACATCAAGACCGCTTGATCATCCTTTCTACGATAGAGATACAGTCAAGGTAAGAGAATTTATGCCAACAACTACCATGCCGCGCGATTCTGCTTACACTGACCAAGATCTAGCCCTGCTCATCGCGCGTGGGCAATCGCAAGAAAGGTTTTTGAGCCGTTATGGCAATTGACTCGGGCGCTTTGCCGCGTCTCAGTGCAGAATAGGTCACGTTTGTTAGCAGCATCGTCCAACTCCAAGTGGTTAGAGTGTTCTGATTGTGAAGGAGATTCAAGAATTTCTATCGTCGGGTTATTTTGTTGAAACAAAGAGCAAGGAGGAAGAACGACAGACGTTTTCGCTAACGATGTCAACATACTAGCTCGGGTATTTGATTAATGATTTTTGAGATGATCTAAAGGACCACGCAAGCATTTCGATTTCTTGTTCACGAACGAAACGCGACAATCACAACTATACAATGCTAGATTTATGATCATGTCCACTTCCTGAGGCACAGGGAAGTTACAGATAGAGGGACAACTAGAACAAGATGAAGGGAGGTCGCCAAGTGCAATTGCGATCGTCTCTTCCGGGTGGAGCAGCCGCTGGAGTAAAAAGTGCTGTCTCAGCCTCTCCGTTTCGCAGAGCTGACCTTCGTGTGTTCGAAATCCCACAGCTCATTGCACACTATCGTCGCGAAGCGACGTCGACGTCCTCGAGGCAAACTAAGGTTGGTAGTCACTTTTCGCTTTCTTCAGCGCAAAATGTTACTGGCAACGTTGGCGTACCATCGTCGAGTAGCCGTGAGGAAAGAGCTCAGAGGACTGGGTCGGCGTTTTGGCAAGATGCGCTTACGGCCATAGGCGAGCGCGTGCCGGAGATGGTGCCAGCGGATATGGCTGCCATTACAATGGCCGTATGTAAAATTGATGATCCGGGAAAGGACGAACTTTTGAGAAAATTTTTCGGTGCACTTGCTGGATATGGAACAGGAACTGCACCTTCGTCGAGCACCCCTTCGACCGGTACAGATCGTAAGTCCGCTCCTTCAGGCGTTGTACCTCCTTCTAGCAGCAGTTCTTCATTGTCCTCGAGTGAATCGGCAACAACATCAAATGCAGTGCTACGACAAGTTAGCGGCCGCGACTTGGGACACCTATGCTGCGGTTTTAGTACAGTACGCGACCGCAGGCTTGCAAAAGACTTTCTCGACCGCATTGCGACACCAATCCTCTTAGACGTGCAAGCGCATTCAACCATTGAAAGATCGCCTGGCGTTTCCGCTGTTGTAGATACATTGGCATCTTCCTCTTCGAAGTCGAATAGTCACGACGCAACTTTTGCAGACCACTCAGCGCCTGTGGCGTTCGATGAGAGCATGTCAAGATTCGCACATCAGACAAGCTCTACTGGAAACATTTGCTTATTGGATGCGAACTCAATGACCCGCATACTGAACGCCTACGCAAAAATCAATGCAGCGCAAACGGATCGTCGGGTAGCTAACTTCTTAGCAACTTCTGCCGTTGAATGGATTCCCGAGCTGTATGCTCGGGAGCTCGTCAATGTCGCCTTGTCCTTTGCGAAGATCAGATGCTCTGGGGTAGAGGAGACGCTTACACCGCGAAAAAACGCGACCATGAAGAAAAGCAGTACAACTATGTCGGCCCCAGGTTCTTCGCCGTCGCCAGAAAATGAGGCCTCGGCAATCACTACGGATTATAGTGCTGCAGACACGGCAAATCAACCAGCAGCGGATAGAACAAGTAATGGTGCGACCACGATATCCTCGAGAGGTATGAACGTGTTCCACCGCATTCGCAGTCGCATCCTTGACGAACGCCTATGGTCGACTTTCAATGCGCAAGATTTCGCAAACTGTCTTACAGCGTTTTGTGCTTATAGCAGCTCGATTGAGGGGAGCAGGGTAGCTTTGAATCCCGTCATTCAGACACACGAAAGAGCAACAGCATCTACGTCTTTAGCAGGACCATCTTCATACAGTTTTTCGAGCGACACAGAATTTCAGGTGGCTTTAGCAGAGAATCTGCGTCAGAATCTTCAGAAAATGGACTTATTGCCTCAGCACGTAGCTAGTTTGACTTGGAGTTTTGGACGAAAACTAGACCGCTTTGATCTGATCCGGTTCCTCTTTGACGACGATTGTAATCATCAAGGGTCTACTTCATCAAGTTCGATTACATCTTTTTTTCCGCCTGTGGGTATCCAAGTCATGACTAAGTTACAGAAACCGCAAGAATTGGTGAATTTGTGGAGTGTGCTAACGGTGGAGCGGCCTGCTGTGGCCGCAAAATACCTGCTCCCGGACTTCACGCCCACGATCATCGCGAAGCTGCAGGCGCTAGATATTGTGCCTTTGGCGGAAGGGTATGTGCGGATTGTGGAGAGTGGCACAAGTGCAACTGCGGAGCTGTGTCCAGGGGCGACTACAACCATCTCTAAGGACGCTTGTACAGGGGCTTCATCCTTCTTTCAAATGCTAACAAAACGGGCGGAGGAATTGCGACACGCTCAAAAGTTAGACGCAGCTCAGATTCTCTTCCTTTTTCATGCTTTCTGCAAAATTCCCCTGCATTCTATCCAGAATAACGATAATTCACCTCTGCTTCGTAACATGCTGCCGGATCTTCGGAGTCTGGACGCAAATGCGCTAGCCCTCGTGTTGAGTGGGATTACGCATAAGATAAGGCTGTCCGAGGAAACGGCTGGATCAGTGAATGCGACTGTGAGAGGAAACTGCAGACACGAGAAGGAAGAAACTTTTTTGGTCGATGTTTGCCGCAAAATCCTCGGCTTTTGGCAGAGTGGACGCGCAGAGGACCTCAATGTTGTAGCAAACGAGGAAGAAATACAGACGAACACGAAAGTTGTAAAGGAACTCGTAACTGCCAGTTGTACAACGTCGGTTTCATCTAGTGCGACAATGGACTTCGACCGCTTCATTAGACTTTTCTATATGGGCAACAAGAACGTGGATCGCAGTGTCACCAATGTGTTGCAGAGTATGGCTTTTCTCGCGAACAATCGGAATCTTCTGGTAGCAGGAAGCAAGGACTCGGTTTCAAGTTCAAGAAATGCCACAACTTTTCTGCTCGAGCATCGGAATTTGATTTCGCACTTGTCGCAGCTCTTGTTGCGCGATAGTGATCACTTTTCGGATAGCACGCTTATTCAGTCGATTTACGCTTGCACACAAATTAGCGAAGTCGAAGGGCAGCCGCTCATTCCTGCCTTCGTCCGAAACCGATTTCTCGAAAAGCTTTCGTCTATCGGCTACGCGCGCTCAGAAACATTGCGCGCGCCCGACTGTGTGGCGCTGGTGAACACATTGGTGCTGTGCAACCACACAGCGGATGAAACACTCCTTCGGAACGTCGCGGCCAGGTTCGCTCAATGCATGCAACAGACTTTTGGCGACGCTAGAGCACCTTCAAGTTCAAGTGTAAACAAGAACAAAAAGTTTGCTTGGCAGTTTTTGAACAGTTGTGCGCGAATGCAGTATCGGGATTCTTCGGTGGATGCGATTGCGGGTTGCACTGACGTCTCGTCAGTCGCTGACGCGGACCAAGCAGCCACGTTGCTCTCGAGCCTTGCGCGGCTGGGCTACTTGCGGAACGCTTGGGTGCCAAGCTTTGATGTTTCAAAACTTGCAAGGCCCACGTCGGGGAGTGCGTATGCGGAACTTCTTTTTTACACCTACTTACACCATATGTGGTACGCAAACTCGTCGGGTACGACAAACATAGAAGGTTGGAAGAACACTCTCTTTGTCGCGAATACGAGGAGACTGATGACTGCATCAACTGGAGATCAAGCAAGGGAACGAGATGCTAAAGGAGCGACAACAGCATGTGGAGGGTTGCCTGGACAGCTCCAGACAACTAGAGAGGAAGCGTCGCAGGTCTACACTGGTCTGTGCATGCTGCGGCAAATGGTGACCGACTTAGCAGTTCTGCCTCTCGGAGTCTTACGCTTAGCAGGCACGCAACTGGCAGCACAAGGCATCTTTGAGAATTTTTCATCAGATAGTTCTAGTTCTAGTTCTTCAGCAAGTTCAGGCACCCCTGTGGGAACTACAGGCTTCGTGGCAAAACAAGATACAACCTCTAGCACTCCTTATTTTGGATCTACAACAGCGACCTCGGGCTCTTCGAGGCGGGCAACGGAAACTTTCAGAGAAGGCGAGACCGAAGCAGAAGTACTAGACGTATTGGAGCGCTTTTGTCTTCGTTCAAAAGTTGTTCAAAATCTAACGACGCAAACACAGGCTGGACCATACAGTATTGACTTGTGCATTGACGGCGCGCTTGTCACATGAAAATGTATGCTTGAAAGTAGAAGCCCTGTAGTACTTGAACTTGTGATGATTGTTGTTTGACGCTACTTGTTTCGCATGCGCTACATCTGCTTACACATTTAACGACATACATAGGGAGCAAGACAAAGTTACTATTGGGGCTTCATTCGCACTATCAACTTTACCCTAGAATGTGGATTGGTTTTAATTTTTTCACTTTTCCGACAACCTGTAGAAGAAGAAAGAGAAACGCAATCTGTTTCTTTGAAAGGAAAGGACAGGAAAGATGCCTTCGAGGTATGCACCACTGCGTCTTGGATGGTCTTGAAAAAGTAGAATAGCAAGAATATGGGCAAATCGAAAAAGGTGGAGGAAAGTACTCTTTATGGCAAAGCAAAAGAGGAAGAAAGAACGTAAATCTAAATTCATTGCATGCTGTTAAACCAGCTGAAAAAAAGCCATAATAGCAATGATCAAGAGTCCGAGTAATGAATTAAAGGGTTCGCTTTCCAAACCAAGTCCAAGCGAATTTGTGATAGATTGATAAGGAACAAAGACCACGATTTGTAACATCTAGAGAGAGGCGCTTTCGCCGACAAGAAGATGGCGCCCTCCTCGTCGACGTCCACGACGGGCGTCATGTCCCAACATGAAGTGAAGGCGAACCCCAAGGTTCCAGACTGTGTCATGCTCGCTTTCGAGCGATATCAGCTTGGCTGTCTACACGAGGAACTCGCGGGTCCGGAACCGCGACAGCTACAAGCACTGGACATCATTCTCGATATATGTAGGGTCGAACCTAAGGCGCAAGAAGGTAACTAGACATCTTTGAATTATTTTTTTAGGGTCTGCTGACAGACGTGGGATTTCGCGCTGCTTGTTTTCGAAATAAATCAACATGAATATTTTTATTATTTTTAAGATAGTATCACAGGAAGGCAGCGCTGCGTGTGAGTTTTCTTCAGAAGATCAACTTCTACCACAAGGATATCAACAGATCACTTACCACCTGGGTTTACAAGTTTTAGACTATATAAATATAGGAATATAAAGTCTTGGAGGGTTTCGAAATTTGAAATTTTTCCAACCCATCGCTCCGATCTCCACGAACACCAACAGGGTTGCGGCAGGGTCTTTTGGACGTTTTGATTCATATAATACGAAACGCTCCTTCGCCAATGCTTCTTTCAAAGACAGTAGAGGCATTTCTTCTGCTTTCGCGGTTTGCGAATGCCAGGGCAAAATTGTACTGGACAATCATAATCGGATGTTAGGCCTTGTTCGCTTCTCGAACAAGGTTACTTCTTACAATAGAAATTTTATGTCCTGCTCCTGTTTGTGTAGAAGTTGAATTTTTTCTACTCGTCCTCGTCGAATAAATGGAGAATTCCATGTTTTCATCCGAACATCAATCGTCCAGAGTAGCAGACTTGTCGAAGCTCGAAAGACTGCGAGAGGCGCTTCAGACATCCACCGAGGAGAACAAGATGCGATGTCTGGAGTTGGTGCGCAATTTGACGTTACGACTGGGAACGAAATTTCTTGGTGTCACATTGATTATAGAGTGTAGCAGAGTGATTAGTTGGTTCTTGCTCTAATTCTACAGTATCCACGTGGAGCAGACGCTTTGGTCAAAGCAGGTTTCTGGACATGGCTAACGGGCGAACTCTCATCAGGAGCCAAACCTTCCACACTTCGTCAACAAATATTCCGCGCGCTGTACGCGATAAAAATCGAATGTAAGTATATTAATATTCTATTTTTTTTACACAATCGTTCGATTGATACTTTTCTTTGTGCATTCTTTGTTTTAGACTTCTCAAATTCAATTAGATCGCATTGTGCTGGACCAACCTTCTGGATTTGACACCGGCTAGATTGATGCCTGTGTTGTCTCGAGATGCCTATACCGATGGAAATCTTTGTTTCTAGACGACAGCACACGTGCACTGCACACGACACGCACAGAGATAAAACAATAACAACCTGCTCCATCAGGTAATCTAGACCCGAGCAACACCGCTACGTCAAAGAGTCTGATTAAGCTCATGCTGAGCAACGACCTTTTCCTTGAGCTCGGGCCAGGGTACTACTCATACTTTTACCTACGTATGAGCCTTTCAATTGATGAAAGTACTAAACGACACCGCAGTCGATTATTTTTAACAAGCCATCTGCCTCACCTTAGGTATGCTTTCAGCGTCCTTGAGTTTTGCATAGCGGTGGCAAGAAACCACGACGACAAAGAGGAATTCGTGACGAACGATGGCATACCACACGTCTACAAGACCTTCTGCGACAGTGGCAACCTCTCTGTGACAGCACGAGGTACTACTTGGTTTTTTGATGACAACTTTGAATTCCGAACCTTTTACCTTTACCTCCACCCGAGAGTGTGAGGTTTGTCATGGTCATTTTTATTTCAGTTGCTATCGCTTCTCTTCTTATTTCCTTGTGGCGAGTCCTTCATGCTGTCTTCCACTTGTCTGCTGCTTGCGAATCGTAACGTGCCCCATGTGGTGGCCAGCAACTTTTTTCTGAAATCTCGTCCAAATCCAAATCCAAAAGTATGTTGTATGGTTGCCTCGCCATCATAATCTTGTACTACAGAGGGTGAGCGGATTCAATGCATAGCCGCGGCATTGCAGTTTTTAGGGACGTTGACAATTAGTGTCACCGGCAAGAAGCAAGTCGTGGAAAGACTTGGAGCGCACGCATTTGTAGCCTTTTTAGTCAAGGTTTTGGATGTGGAGAGCGGCAAATTGGAGCGGACACTCACGCAGATGATGTTATGCAGATGTTGAACACCCAAACAACTTGAATCAACCTGAGATCTGTTCTTGGTGATCCTACTATAATGCATATAATCTAGTTTTGGTGATCCTACAACAACTACTGACTCTTGCCGAAGTTCTCTCATCTAACCTCTCTAGAAGTCTGTGAGCATCCGGAGATGCGAAAAGCGATGCGAACCAGTGCGCAGCTTGTGGATAAGTTGCGTAGTAGCGAAAAACGCGCAGACGAGTTCGCGAAGAAAATCCTACACAAGCTGCTGGACAACATCCACTGGGAGCCAGGAAAGCTCCAGCCATAAAAGGCGCAGGCTTCGCCTTAGGGAGTAGCAAGAGGAAGAAAACGCAGAACGATGTTGTTTGAGAATGTCTCTCTGCGTGACCACCATCAGGATTTGACGCAGGTGGGAATAATGCGAGATTTAGTTCCCAGACAGTAGCCCGATCCATTTTGAATTTACCGAAACCGACACTAGCTCGCGAAAAAACCGAAAACTAGAGAAATTTATTCACGTGATACTATAATCCTGAACCTGATCTCAATTTTTCCTAGACAAAGTACAGTTTTGCGGCAAATAATAGAATAGCATTTGATGCACACTCATTTCATATTTATGGTGAAAGTCGTAAATTGGAAATTAACGTGGTCCCTCCCCTGCATGTATAGTAATCGGATGCCTGCTCAGGGTGTGCATAGTAGCACGTTTCTCTGTCGAGAAAGGCATTTTTTTGCATAGAAGCTTGGGGAGGTAGGACTTTCCTGTCCTCTGCGATAAGGCGGGACACAATGTCATGATAAGCTGAAGCCGGAGTTGGTGCAGTGGAACACCAAGGGCGACTTTGCTGCTTATGATCAATTTGTTTTTTTGGGCTTTCAAGTAGTCGTTGTGAAGAATCATTTAGTACTGTGTAATTTTCATCATTGTTGTCATAATAATTTTGATTGTTGCTCATACCATTACCATGCGAGACACATCGTTGTTCAACGCGGCTGCGCTGCTATCAGTCGTCCTTAAATGATAATGCCAAATGTTCCTGTAGCTAATCATTCCATTTCCATTTACTCAACATAGCACTGTGGAGACATGATGTTTAAACTCGAGTACTGCACCTTTCAGAGAATATAGAAGACGAACTACAAAAACTCTCCATCATGATCATGGTGATCACGATGTCACACTCCTCTACGTGCAACAGTGCGCGTTAGATCCGCGGACGAATGCGAATATCATCATGCTGGCCTACTCATATGGGCTTCCGGTAATGGAAAATGAGAAGCATTAGAAGGGTCAGGCTGTTAAGGTGAGCCTCCATCCAGGGCTTCTGGAGCTTGCTTGACGTGCACGCAAAGGCAGACGCGATCAAAATCGAGACGATCAAACACGATCCTGTTGTGCTAAAAAACACAAATATTCCGCTACTTGAGTGTAGGGGTCTTCCTGTCTGACACTGAGAGACCTTTTATCACAACATTTTTGCTAGTTGTATACTCTTTCCCTTAGCCCAGCAACCCGCTATAGCTCCTGAGATGAATCTTCAAATTCAGAGTTGAATAGTGTGAGCGAGGCGTGAATTTAGCCGGATGGAAGTGAAAAGCACGGAATTTTTAAACTAATCAGATTCATCAGAAGGATGCGTAGACGGGTTAGAGATAGCTGAACATAGTTGCTGCACAGGAAGAGAGCGATGGCAGCGACGGCTAAATCAATGTATTTGAAGATGACCACATCATGCGGAGTAGGAAAAAATGATAGGCAACGAACAGCGTGAGATCATGTAAGTAAGTGTAACAACCTCCTCGACATTTTCACTGTTGCTGGTCAAGGTGAATTGATTTCTTGAACATAATCGAGAAATACCTGTTTTCTTCCTTGCAGTAATTGAGTACACGCAATAAACTCGTTGGAGGAACGTCACCATCATCGAACATGTCGCAGCTTTTGAACAACCTCGGCAAGTCCTCTGGGCTAAACCTTGGTGCGGTCAGATCCAATTTGGATGTCGGACTCAGCTTCATGAAGGAAAAGTTTAAAGAAGTTGCTAAAACAACGAAACTTGGAGGAGTTTACGATGACGACGAGCCGTCGTTTGAAACCAATGACGGAGAAGTCCTAGTCCGCTACTTCGTCCAAGGTGGGAACCCGCAAGTGCCAGACGATGAAGACAACATGTTTTTGCTGCCGAGACTGCCATACGTATAGCTTTTTTACTTATTTGCCAGACCGAAGCGTATGCGTAAGCACAGACAGGACCAGGAGTAGGATCGATGAGAGGCTGCATAGCTAGTAGCTCTATTGACTACTAAGTAAGTAAAATAATCAAGAAGACGAGACGTTGAGATTGGCCAGGTTTTTCGTCCTACTCCGGTTCTTTGACTTCGTCCTCGACTTCTTAGTGCTACAAAACGCCCTTTATTTTTTTGCGACCTCCGTCCACGAGGACCCCATCACATTTGAACCAACGAACAGTACACGAAGGCAGTTGTGCTGCAGGAGTTTCCGATGAAAGGCGAGTATCATTTTCGATTCAAGAAGGAGGACGACGAGTTCGGCTTTGTGTGGATGGATCTGCCAGACCTTGAGGATCTTGTCCCATGCTATCAGAACCAGATACACATCAAGGTAACATAGTTCGACTTATACCTCTTTCTAGCTTAAATTTTGATGTCGTGATTATTTGATGCGCGTTGTAGTTCACTCGGATCCAGAGATTGATTTTTATCACTTCTGAGTGCAACTACTGCAATTATGATCTCCTTTGTTCTCTTCAGTACCTCGTAAGACTGTCTAACCAGGACGGAGTATTATTTGATTTCAGTTCATTATGTTGAGGTTGCTTGATTCTGGTGCCCAAGAACAGGTTCTCGGATTCCCGGATGGATCATCACGGGAGTACGATAAACTGCACAATATTCCTCGACCCGCAGAAAACAGGAGACCAGCACAGAAGATGGCGACACGCGCTAGTGCAAATGCCAGTAGTCCAGCGTCGAGGCCGCCGCGAAATGAGGACTTGTTGGCTGGCGACGATGGATTCTACTCTGGAAGTAACAGGTCTGGAGCATCGAACAACATCAACAGCAGGGGAGCAGGAGGGCCACAGCATCTGGATGATTTTGGTGCCTTCACCTCCTCCGCGCCTGTGATGCCTGCTACATCAAGCGGCTTTCAGTCAGCTACGGGGTCGGTGAGCAGGTCTAGCAGTTCAAGCGGTGCCTCTGGAGGAGCAGGATTTAATCCCAGCGCTAGAAGTCAGCCAATGACGCGCGCAGAGGATCTCAATCGCGATGAGCTAGTGCGGAAACGGGAAGAGGAGAAAGCACAGCGAATACAAGAAAAGTTAGAGAAGCATTCAGCTGCCCGATCACAAGATGAAAGCGGCAAACAGGAGCGAGCGGATGCAGCAATCGAACTCAAAAAAGTTATGAACAACAAAGCATGTTCAGGTTTGTTGACGCTTCGTCTTTATCTGTTGTAGCCGTTAGTGTCAAGAAAATTAGTATGGAAGTATTCTCCCGCGTAGTTTTCAACACGTCGATATTCATATTCAAGAAATTACAAAAATCCTTCCTGCTAAAAGTAGAAACGTTGTTTGTCTCTTCCTACATACAAGCATATTTTCTAAGTCCTAGCTCGATGGCTGGGCGCTCAACCCGCAAGATCAGAGCTGGCGTGACGTGAGAACGCTCCTGGCGACGATCCAGGACGTGATATGGGAAGGGAGCACTTGGCATCCGGTTTCATTAGGCGACTTGATGATGAATCCCGGTCGAGTCAAGAAATGCTGGCAAAAAGCGATTTTGATATCTCATCCCGACAGACACAACAATGCGGATGGGAAACGCAGGTACCGCGCAGAACGCATATTCGAGGCAATCAACGAGTCCTTCAAAAACTTCAAACCATGAAGATAAACTAGAAGAAGAAGCTACAACCTCCTTCAAGCTTCTGGAAATCAAGATAGCAAGCTCACCCTTATACAACAGCGACCAAATTAAGCATGTTCCCCACCACTTTATGTACTAGAAGTATACCGCCACCCGCTTGATTATCGTCCCCATTGTGATCACAGGAAGATGCCTCCGATCACTTTTACTCTTTGGAATTTAGTTTTTGATTTTCTGAATTTGTATCGTTACAACGGTCACAAACTACCAAAGGGAAACGTGACGTTTGTCCGAAGACGATGATGTGTTTTCCCCACGGCGAACATGTTGGCCTCTGTTACGGAGTTTGTTGAGGGAAATTCCCTTAAAAGACTTGATCCTCGAGAGGTGCTTGTTCATGAACACGATCGTTTTATGATTAATGATCGAGATATAGGTCTTGGTGAAACTAGAATGATTTGGGATCAGTCATGAAGATCCGACCTGAAAACCCATCTTCGTTGATGAAATGTTCTCTTTTTTCTACTCTAGACGAGATGACTGACGAGATGAAGATATTCCCTGTTGACCTAAGTATTACCCTCATTTATAGCCTTCAACTGTATGAGCATGATCGATACATAGCTAATGAATTATGTGAGAGAATCCCACCCCACTAGTACGCAAGAGTGTTTGTTTGGCTATGACTTTGATGACTGAATCCTCAACATATACGCCGCTCATGCAGAACTCATTGTTATCTTTGTATGCCTGGGAGGTAGAACTAGAAGAGGACGATAGCTCTCCCGTATCCCTTTTTGTGCAGTTGTTCTAATGAGGGAACAGTTGAGTCATTGAAGAGATCCTGCTTTGGTATTGGTTGCTCCATTGATTTCATATTTATCTTTGTGTGTCTTTTTCGATCGCTCATGTACTTAGTTATGCATTTTGGTTCTTTACATTTACAACATGACTGAGCCAACAGCACTCAGTGGTGTTCGAATGTCAGCAGCATATTATTCCATTGTTCCTTTTTCTTTAACCTGCTATGCATAAGCTGAAAATCGTTGTATAACTAGGCTAAAACATGTCAGCGGCACTCGGAACTACAACAGCCCTAGAGGAGAGACAACGCAATGAGGACCGATCAGAGCTAGTACAGAGGATCAAAGCAGCGACTGCGGGATCATGTCTAGTCGCTCTAACTGTAACACCACTCGAAGTGGTAAAGGTGCGTATGCAAACAGGCAATACAGCAGCAAGGTCTGCCGCGTCTGCTTCTACCTCTGGGTCGTCAGCAGCTTCAACGAGTGGTAGTACGACAAATACTGCCGGCGGTTCTACTGGTGGTGTTGGTAGAGGTGTCAACGAATCACGCAGTAGCTTAAAAAATGAGGCGGCTTTTCCGAATCCTAACAGAGCTACGGACATTGGAGGCAGTGGCACCACTGGAGGTGCAGTTAGCTCCAGTTCATCTTCATCTTCAGGTGCTCCATCATCAGCACCCTCAGCCTCTAGCGCAACTGTGTCCGGCTCAACATCCTTTACCGGACGACGGAGTGTATCGTCGAGATTAGTTAGCCTGTCGGATGGTATTCGTGACCACCTGGTTAGAGTGCCTAGCAGCAGTCTGACCAGTGCCACGAACGGCAACGGTCCGGCATCAATATCATCTGCAGCTACGCCGGCAAGAGCAGCGGGGTTGATGGGCGCTATGGTGCCCGGTAGAGAAGCGCTTGCTAATGTTGCTGGGCATGGAGGGGCGCCGCCAGCGGCTTCGTCGTCGACTGCCGCGGCCGCCTGCGTAGCTGCGCCAGCATCAGCAGCGGCTCTAGGTCATGTGCAGCATAGTTTCCTTGGTAACAGCGCTGGAGCCGCGTCGTCGTCGTCATCCACCTTTCCAGTCGTTTTCGCAGCCAGTGGAGTCGGAGTGTCTGGAGGAGCTGTTGCAAGTACTAGGGGAGGATCAAGAGGAATCATGGGGACGCTGCGGCACGTGGTGAGAACAGAGGGCCTCTCTGCACTTTATCGCCCTGTCTGGCCGACGCTTCTAATGTCAGTACCTCAGAATGTGTTGTATTTTGTGACTTTTGACACCCTCAAAGAGTCCCTGGATGACGTTACTGGCAGATCGACCCCGCCCAGCAGCATCAGCAACAGTCCCAAGGAGGTGAAAATGAAAGAGATTGTTGTAAATAGCAAATACAGAGTAGACACAGCCGGAACCAGCAATTCTAGTACAACTTCAGCAGACCTGGTGAGCGGTGGTGCAAACAGCGCGGTCGCAGGTGTTTGTGCTCGTGCGGTAACGGTCGTGTGTACATCTCCATTTGAAATTGTGCGAACGCGATTAGGCACGGCCCGAAACACAAGCTTGTGGAAGACAGTGCAGGAACTACATCTTTCGGCAGGCGTCAAAGGCTATTATCGTGGACTGCGTCCGTCGCTACTGCGTGACGTGCCTTTTTCCGCGTTTTACTGGGCTAGCTACGACATATTGAAGAACACAATCGAACGCTCCTGGGGTCATATTGAAGACCATGCTCCTTCATCCCTTTCAGCTGTTGGAGGAGCGCCAGATCGCCATCCCCAACCTTCCTCAGGCTCAACAGCTGCAGCGTGCTGTAGTACTTTTTCCTCTTCCTCAGCATCTTCACAATCAACATCTTCCTCTTCATCCCCAGCACCGCCCTCATTCCGCACCGCCTTTGTTTCTGGAGCCATTGCAGGTAGTATTGCAACCGTTTTCTCGCATCCTTTCGACGTCGTGAAGACACAGTGGCAGGTGGACACGGGAAAAGGCAGTGGGACTTCAGTTTTCACAGCTCTTAATACTTTGCGGAAGCAAGGACAATGTTTTTCCGGTCTTGCGCCCAGAATGCTCCGCGTGACTCCCGCATGTGCAATTATGATCACTGCCTACGAATACGCGAAACGCTAAACCAGACGAGGCAATGACACGATGAGGAAGAAGTCAGTGAATGGTTTCATGCACACGACTTGGACATGCATTGCATGGGTTGTAAGTGAATGGTTGCTTGTTCTCTTGATGTAGTCGTGGTTCTAAGTACCTCATCAATTCCATTGATCGACATTTTTTCAATGATGCGCTGTTCGCTGCTCAGTTTTTGCGTTTGATTGAGATTGACCCTAACACAGTGCAAATGCAAGTCCAAAATGATTCTTTCAATGATCCATCCCTACCCCTAATTAACAAGAGCGAACGTTGCCCTTGCCCCCTCTGCCGCCCCCCGCGACTACACCCGCATAATATAGTATCCTGTTGGTTCTCAATGAATATCGAAATTGCTGACTTCAAGCCTTCTTTTGGAGGATTTCGGTTCAATAAGCAAAGCATCCTTGTTCGGTGGAAACTTGTCTCCCTCTCCGCCGGTGCTACGAACAGCAGAGCATCACGATCACTAGATATATTACACACATGATGACATTGGAAGATCATAGCAGCACTCAGACGGATCAAGATCTGATCTGTGCTAACGACTGCTTGGAGATCGTATCATAATCATAAAATTCTAGGTCTTGATGTTGTTGATCTTGATGATCATCTTGGGACTCTAAACACGCATAAGATCCTACGTGTAGTTTTCTTGTAACTGCAAGAAGGTCAACAGCGTCATCGGGATCTGATTCTGCGAGACAAGTTAGAGGATCGTAAAAGGAAGCTGATCAATGCTGCGTGGTGCAGACTCGAAAGTTGCAAGAGCATTTTTTGAAAAATAGTGATTCTGGTGGACGAGCTTTTGTTATCGATTATTCCGTTTTTGGATGTCAATTTCAGCAGCTAACGAGACAAAACTAGTTGTACTTCGCCACTCCTACTAGAATGTCGTAATGATCCATAATTCCTCTTGTTTACATGCACAGAGGTATGTGATATGTCTTTCTAAAATAAGAACAATAATTGATTTTACCTTTGTTCTTACCACGACATGCATCAGCATTAATTTCACACTACTTTCTACTTTATTCTGTTTTCGTAGCTGACTTTTGAAAAAATGACAAACTTTTTTCGTATGTTGAGCCAGGGCGCGGACTTCAAGCAGTCCAAGAAACTGTTTGGAAGTAAGTCGTCTGGAGAGCCGAACGCAAAATCAATGAAAGGCCCTCTGCAGAGTTCCAAATCCTCAAGCTCTAGTGGCGACGCGGCAGCAGTAAAGCAGCTGGATTTCTTTGGCGCCGCTGCATCCGATGTGCCAGTTGAAACGACAAAAGGCAAGGACAAAGAAGATGATGGTCGAGACGGCACGGGAGCTAATGAAGGTCACCTTGGAGAAGCAACATCGATGGCAACAGCATCTGAAACCGCGTCTTCCTCCACCGCGTCTGAAATTCGCCGCCGACATCGTATTCACCACGTGTCCGCGGACTGTCCAGCACCCTGGGAGTCATTCACAGCTTTTGAAAAGGATATCCCCACTTGGATCGTCAACAATGCCCGTCGTGGACTTAAGTTTGATACGCCGACGCCGGTCCAGATGCAGTGCACTCCAGCAATTTTAACAGGGCGCGACGTGCTCGCCTCAGCACCGACAGGTAGCGGAAAGACTATGGCTTTTTTGCTGCCGCTTTTGGCGCTATTGGAGAAGGAACTAGCGAAAGTGGATGCAGAAGCTTCCGGTACGACTTCAAACAAGAAGAAGAGAAGAAAGCTTGAACAAAAGCAAGTCCTCGAGGCAACTACTGGGACAGGTGGTGCATCATCAAAGGCAAAGCCTGAAGCGAGCGCAGGAGGAGATGAAGATGATATCCCCCGACCCTTGCTCGTGATCGTAGACCCAACTCGCGAGTTAGCTCACCAGACTCTGCGTGAGTACAGGAAACTTGCGGAGGGACAGCTCGCGAAGTTTTGTCCTAGTCTGCTAGACGACGACAGCACCTACGGCGGGGAAACGGTCGTTGCGATCAGCACACCGCAGAAGCTAGAGAAAATGCTGGAAGATAACAAAATTTCCTTAGAGCGCTGCCGCTACCTGGTGCTTGATGAGGTCGACAAATTGTTGGACTTGGGTTTCCGCGCACAAGCTGACGCAGTTTTAGCGCACTTGCCACAAAACGTACAGAGAAGCACCGAGGAAAACAAGAGAGTGTCAAAGAATATAAAGACGTCGTCGAAGAGTGTTATTTCTGCAGTTGTTACGCCTAGGAGATGCGCAACTTTGTTTTTCTCTGCCACACTACCGGAAAACGTCGTGTCTCTTGCTGAGTCTGTGCTCATCAACCCCTTGGCTGTGCATATCGGCTCCAGTGCTGCTGCTAACCCGGATGTGGAACAGAAACTCGTATTTATCGGCAAGGAGGGCGCGGGCAAGCTCTTTACACTGCGCACTATGTTGCAGACTGGAGCTTTAAAACTCCCTTGCATCATATTCTTGCAAAGCAAGGATCGTGCGCGACAGCTTTGGCAAGAGCTGCGATTCGAACCTGCTTTCGGGGGAGAGAAACGAGTCGACTATATTTCAGCCGAACGAAGTAAGGAGGACCGAGATGCCGCAGTCACAAACTTTAGACTGGGAAAGACATGGGTATTTACCAACTCTGTGCTTGTTTTTTCACATCACAATTGTGATCATTTTTTGTCGTTACCCTTGTTACCTTGTTGATACGGGAGTTCTTGAAAATAGTGCAAGTTGTAAATCAGTGCTGTCTACTAGTACTAGGTCTTCAAAGTTCAAAGTCCAAATCATCGCTCTTTCTCTACTGCACAGATTCTCATTTGCACGGACCTGATGTCTCGTGGTGTCGACTTGAAGGGTGTTGAGATGGTGGTCAATTTCGATTTGCCGCTGAAGCAGTCAACCTACATCCACCGAATTGGGCGTGCAGGACGTGCTGGACGACAAGGCGCGTCGGTGACATTCTTCACAGAGGAAGACTTTCCGTGGTTGCGTCCTATCGTCAATGTGGTTCGAAATAGCGGATTCGCAGTGAGCGACTGGATGTTGCAACTGCGAAAGCCACGTAAACACCGACAAGAAAAGAACGGCCAGATCGAGTTTACGCGAAAAATACAGCGCAAGGATATCCGAACTGGAGGGAAAAAGAACAGTGGAGTTACTGGGGCGAACAAGAAGAAGCAGGGCAAGAAAAATAAGAGCACTTCCAAGATGGGCGGTGGCGGTGCAGATGCGTCATCGGAGTCACAAAATGCCACAGCTCCAAAGGCTGGAGGAGCTAAAAAATCTTCCCCAGGAGGACAAACTCCTTCAATGAAGAAGATGAGATCACGAGTAAAAAAGTCTTCGGACAAGAACTGATACAACCCGTTGCAACATGCATCAACCCATGCTCCTGTAATGACAGCCTCTTTTTATCAGGGATAGACCACCCATTGCTCTAGATATTAATGAAATTGTGAAGATTTAAATTGAATTTTAAACAATAAACATCATGTCTTACCACGCGATACGATGTTGGTGTGTTCAGTTCACCGAATCCGGTTTCCTGCTTTCTGCATGTGTGTTACGGTACTAGGCGACAACGAGCAAGAACGATCATCATTGAATCACTAACAGACCATCATCTGTTGATGTTCTCCAAAACTGTCTGTGATGTCGCCTTTGATGGCTAAAAAGATAATGAAGATCATCAAAGCCAATCTGTCAAATGGAGACTACTCAGAAGTATTGTTTGTGGCTTTAGGATGCCCTAAAGCATTGTGCTATATTTCCAGCAAAATTTATTGCTCCGGCTGCCATTCGGTGCATATAGTCCTAACGCAAAAAAAAAAAATCTACGGTGATCATGAAGGATCATAACAGAGATGCACACATGACATTATTGCTTCAAGTCTGTCAAAGGAACGAAGGATCTGCAAACTCTGTGGTGGCCTTTTCGGTCAAAGTTTTGTTTATTACTTCACTCTGCTTCAGAGGATTCTTTGATTTCTTTCATGATGAAAAACGGCATCAAATGGTGCTCGACAATATCAAATATGGCTGCAAACTGGACATTAGCGGTCGGTTCTTTGCAAGGCTTTTTTCCTGCCATGATAGATAGAGTTTAGTTCTGTGTCCATCCCTCTCTCTGTTCTCCTGTCTCACTGATTGGAGACTAATCTCCTTTGATGTTGAAAATTTTTGCCGAGCTTCAACTTCATCAGCAATTGTTCGACTTGTTTCTACTAATGAATCTCGAGCTTCAACTTCATCTGTAATTGTTCGACTTGTTTCTACTAATGAATCTTGATCGGAGAAGTTGTTTCCCTTTCTTGCCCCCCATCCCGACTTGCTTTCCACTCATCCCACCTTCTTTCGATAAAGATAAAGTTGACCTTAACTTGTGACCGTCATTCATTCTTTCAAGTTCAGACATGTAAATTATCTAACATTCTCTTCTTGTGGGTTGCAAAGGCAATAAAAGCAAATTGTAATTATATACAATAATTATAGACGAGGAAAAAGATGATGGATGTTGTCTGGCCGGTTCTTGCTCCCGCTGTTGAGCCTGTCCTTGGGTGGACATTATTTTCCTGCGCTGCTTTGTACGCCCTACTGTTCCGGACGTATCTCTTGGTCGCGTCTGTGGTGACAAGCGCTCTCGCTGGTTTGCCCGTGGATGTGCACCTAATCGGGGCATCTGCAGTATCCCTTGCTACAGACTGGGTTGTGCTCGTCAAGGTGCAGATGCAGACTTTGATCGCATCCGTAGCTGACTCGATATTGTTTCACGACGCAGCAAGAGCATGGGCTCATGTTCTAGCTGGAAGCCAAACGCTTGTCTCAACCTTGCAATTGTCTTCCCAAGTGTTCTTTGCCAACACACATTTGTATCTGACAGAGTCTTTTAAGTCCCTCCGCGACGCTTCTGCTATCCTCTTGAACGATTTGCCACGAACTGCGAGTGCGGTCGCCGCGGAAGCACAAGCTTGCTTCGCAGAAGCGGTTGCGGAAATAGCGCGACTTGCTCCTCTTACGTCTGTGCACGCGACACACGCCGCCGAGTACGCCAATACCCTCCTCGCGTCTCAAGTCATTTTCTGGGGTGAGTCTTTTCTTCTGCTGCGCGAAACAGCCGCTACGGTGATACGGCAGGGGATTGCTGCAACAGAGAAATTCGTCTACGATTTGCCTGCTGTGCTAGACGACATATTCTCCGTGAGACTGCCGATGCTCATGCACCAGCTGCGCCAGGCAGATTGGAACCAGGTGTCTGCACGCGTGGTCGAACAAGCCATCGCGGCAGTAGGAACCGCAAAATTCCATCTGCGAGCCGCTGCTGTCTTCGCGCAGGAGTGGGGCGAAACAGTACAAATCAGAATTGTCGGAAAAACTAAGTTGTAAGCCCTTTTCTGTTAGTTGCCACAATACCATCGTCAAGATAGATTGGTATTTGCGAAAGAAACAAATGACCAATGTTCTAACTCCGCGTCGACTCTAACTCGTGTTGTCGTACTTGACAACCCTTGCACTGAAAAATCGCTCCAGGTTGCAGAGGAGATGCAGAGGCTTGCATCTGCGGCCGTGATGAAAGCTGATGCAGCGATGGGCGCATTGCAGTACTATTTTGATGCTGATCCGATGTTATTTGTCAACTTCCAGATCAGGAAGATGCCGTAATATAAGAGTTGTAGTAGTAGTGGTAGTTCCCAGCTCGAAAGTTTCTGTTTCTGATAGAAATTATTCGCTTTTAATATTTGGTTCAAAATTTTAGGAAAGTCGACGCAGTGACGGTCCTCCGCTTCATCCAAGAGAGCCCAGTTCTTATTCTGTCAATACTAGTCGGCTCGATCGTGACAACGGTAGTCACCGTGAGTTTGCTTAGACAGTACCGAAGAGAGAAGGCGATCAAGGCGGATTGGGCTGGAAGACGGGCGTTTGTGCGGTGTGTTGCCAATACTGACGCAGATTTGAAGGAGATCGACGACCCTGCTTCAGAAGCAGTTCCCGTGAAGGCATTCTCAGGAGCAACGAAGTCTTTCCCCAGCAAATTGATTAGTTTCCCGGCAACACTGTTGTCGAAAACTTCAAAGGAAAGTGCCTTACAGTCGGACAGAGACGTTGGTAGGTCAGAGCAAGCAAGTGGAGAGCGGGATATGAATCTGCCGAATCTGTTAGCTCGAACGTCAGAAGAAACGCAATTTTTACTACGACACGATGAGATATACAACGAGGGGAAAATACCGCACGGGGGCAAGGTGCAATCCGGTAATTCCAGGACGTCTGTAGGCGAGGATGCCACTTCTGAGAGTGACGCATCACCGATGCGAGCAAAGGGGGGATCATCCTGCTCAGCGCGATCATCACGTATTTACCTTCTTGGATATGAAACGGGTGCACCATGAATTTTCTACTTTCGTACGAGCACTATGCACTTATCATGATCATCAATTGTCCAAACTCAAGCACACCTCTCGACGTCCATTTTTTACTAAGGAATCTGTTGTTCTATCACCAATTACAGCCAAGCGCTTGAAGCCGGAGACACGACTTGCAGCACCAGCATCATTTCGCATGGCAAGTGTCGAGAGCGGGATGTACCTTGTTCGTCAGCCTGGCGGGTGGCTAGAAATGCGATTTGATAATGAATTTCCGGCAAACAATAACGTAGTCGCTTATGCTGAACCTTGTGCAGAGATTCTCGAGGAATTGCGATCAAGAGTTTCAGAACCTCAAGAAGTAGACTCCGAACTAAGAAAATCACTGTTGGGCTTCGTGAGCGTCGCAATAGGACAGTGGAGAAGTATTTTTTTAAAAGTTGCAAAGTTTTACTTGGGTGCACGTCGGCTACTAGTGATAAAAGAGTGTGACGCTTTTTCCATCTTTGGACTGACTCTGACACGCCGTGGTAAATTTATTGTTCCTTCTTTTTGCAGGTACGCGAATCCTGTTGTACGACACGTGTGAAAAGTTCATGCACGACATCAACGATACCAGCCCTGTCCAGCATGCGACCGCAAGCACAGCGACTGCGCATTCCTCAGCAGAGTTAGAGGAGTTGCATAAGAATCTGTCCATGCAGACATGCGCTGAGGTGGAGCATCTTCCCGGTGCTGCCTCCTCACAAGGACCAGAAGAGGGTAAGCACTGGAAGCTGATCTGGCTTTCGCGCGCTCGGAAGAGTGGTTCACGCGCCTTTCAGATTTTCGAAGTGTTTCCCAACGACGCGTGGTATCTGAATCCGGACCTGGTGGATTTCGTGGGTGTAGTCGCAGCCAAGGCGAGCATCGGGTCTGTCAATTCGATCCCGGGATTCCAGCGCGAAACCTGTGATTCCTTCGCTTCCCGACTAGAAACTGGATTTTGGGTCGATCTAAAGTCGAAGCCAGCAGCCAGCAGCTTTGCATCCTCACTTTTCGGAGTCCTTGGAGGTGGCAGCTCATCATCGTCTCCGAACAACTACATACTAGCAACCGCAACAGCTGGTGGTGACAGTACGACGACTAGTGCTGGTAGTTTCGTGTCGACGATATTTGGAGGACCGTGGGGAAGAAGTAACAGCGGCAGTATGAGTGCGACGTCAAGCGGGTCGGCGCAGTGGGTGAATGCAGGATCACAGCGAAGACTTCCTTGTTGCGGTGAGTCTCCCTCTACCCGCCGTCGTCGGTCTTTGGGTGGAAACGAATTCATTGTTGAGCAGGACTGAAGTTTCTGAAGGACCAGCGTTGGAACTGTTGTCATGACAGTGGGTGCTCAACATTTTTAAGGTCTTCATGACATTCGAGGGTTTTGCTTCTCAAACTTCAATATAGCATGTACAGAAGTTACACACATGATTGATTGTATCTTGAAATAGCACTATCATGTATGAGATAAACCTTTGGTCTTTTGAGTCTGAGTATTTGTTGAAGATACACACAAATCTACTTTTTTAAGATCCACACAATTCATCGTCATCTACTATTTTTGTCACAGCAACTTGACTAATTAGAAGTACTAAAAACAAAGGAAATGCACTCAACGCTCATGCAGCAGATGAGACGAAGTTTTATGGAAATGTAGACATTGAATGTTGCACATGGAGTACATCGATTTCCACTTACCGGTCATGAAGCTAGAAGGATGATGAAACATTAAATGAAGTTAAAAAGATTGCTGTATAGTCATTTTTCAACCAGAATGAACCAGAGATTAGAATTAGGACTGACCACACCAAAAAATGCAAGAAATATTTGACAGATCAATTCGATATATATTGGCCTAGTAGTAGATTCCGAAAATTTATTGCAAAGTGTCATGCTCAGCCACAAGTTCTAGAAAATGGTCTCATACATACTTGCAGCATTTAGAAGGAAGTTTTACCGTGATACATTTTATGTGTCGTTTGTATTTCATACCTTTCTACTCGGTTCTGAGTACTACACGATGTAGGTCCAAGCAAGAAAGCCACCGTTTTGTATCTTGTTTGTATTTTTTGGAATGGTCGCTGTTGAACGAGAATGGATCAAAACGCATATTATGATAAATATATTATATGTATCTAACAACTTCATATGGAAAACACCGTTTGCCATCATATTTTGCGATGCAGAGACATTTTTGACTTGCAACGAAACAACCAAAAAGAAAAGACAAAACAAGGCAACACCGCAAATTTAATCATTACAGGGCACCTGCACCTGGGAAGCTTGCTTCACCATCGTTAAGGTTCCCATTTCTTCGCGGACGAGAGCAAATATGCTATCCACCGGATAAAGAGAAAGCCGACCGACGGTATTGCCGAGTTTTTTGTTCCCCTAGACGAGAGAAGGGGACGTTACTTCGTTTGACTATGATTTCAAATCTTTGACGATAGACCTACAGGGAAACAGAAGGTCTATTTGAATAAACCGCACAACATCTTCATCCGAGCATCGCCATTTTTAACACAGATACAAAATGGATTCTCGCGTGACTAAGTCATGGAAAAAATTTGCGCGAGAAGACTAGTGAAGAAGGACTACTAACAGAGTATGCAGCCAGCCTGTTGAAGATCAACATATCTCTGTAGTTGAACATGATGATGCGCAGTCTTTTAAGATCCGACTGCAGTGGAGGATGATAGGAAAGAGCAAGTGCATGCTGGCCGTGAATAAGAATACCACAGTTGCAGACGTCAAAACGCAGATATTTGCAAGGGAAGGAGTACCACTAGACAAGCAGCGAATGGTTTTTAAAGGCAAGAAACTCAATAATGGCGACATCACTCTTGGGGGACTGGGTATCGAACCGGAGGATGTGGTTCACGTCGTCGTCGATCTCGTGAACAAGGAAGTAGCAGAGTAACGTCCACCGAGGTGGCAGAGCCACAGGAACCAAATGCTGATGAGTGCTTTCGTCCTACGTGCGAACTATGACGTTTGGAGGGAAGATTTGTAGCCAGTGCGGGTAAACATGCCTCTTTCTCCACCTGGTTCGAAGACAGGAGCGACCAGGAGTGCGCGGTCGTCACACGAGATAAAGGTTCGGGAAAGATCGGGTGCACGCAATGGTGGCGCTGCTGCAAGCGGGTCGTCATCGCCAAGACCTCAGCTGAAACCTTTAACTTCTTCTTCGTTACAGCAGAAATCCTGTATGAGCAGTCGAGGCGTCGGCTCTACTAGTTCTAGGTCTATGCCAGCACCCGCAATGAGGGGAGGGACGTCACCAGGCGAGGATCCTGATGAAACTTCGCCGGGGGAACGACTTGCGAGTCGACTCGCGAGCAGCGCTGCAGCGGGGGTTGCACATCACGGGAGTCCGTTTCCAGTAGCCGTGAACTCGAGTTCCTTAGCGCTCATGGGTCGAGTGGAGGGTCGTCGAGGAGAAGGAATTCCGCATTATCACAAAACAAGTAGAAGCTCGATAAATCCTGGCACCACTGCACCAGGAACGAGTGGTCGTGGTGGGTCGTCGTCGTCCACTCTGGCGCACTTAGACGCTGAAAGGGATTATCAATTGGCGCTAGAGCTGCTGCGCGGACGGGAACAGAATGCACGACTTGCGGTATTTCATCTTCGACGAGCGTGCGCAACTGGACACTCGAAAGCTGAGTATCTCATGGCGGTGCTGCATAAAACTGCGCATGACGCAGCCACACCGAGTGCGCGGCAATATCTAATGTTCCTGCAACGCGCGGCGTGCCATGGACTGCCGGTCGCACAATTGGAATTAGGTGCAATGTATGATGCTGAAAATAGTAAACCAAGACTCTCTCTTTTTAGTGCTTAGCTTTGGCTTTCTTGCAGCTAGTGACTCGAAGTGGAATGCTTCTATTTATTCGTCTTCATTATGAATAAATATGAATATATTTTTTTCTACTTACGTGTCTTCCTCTTGTTCCACCAGGTTGTCTCTACACGAAGGGCTTCCTAGTGAGCCGCGACACGAAAAGAGGGATGTCGCTGCTGAGAACCGCCGCGAATTGCGGTGAAGTAGCCGCCTGGAAGCACCTCGCGCGCGCCGAGAAGGATTCTGAACAGGCCACGCAATTGTACTGGGAAAATGCAGCAAAGCAAGGAGATGCGGAGGCCCTCCATTCCATTGCCCTCCGCGCATTGAACAACCTGAATCAGCATTGCCTGTTCAAGAAGGACTCTTCATCTGGTGGAGGAGGCGGTGGATCACGGACGTTGACGAACGCTGTGGAGAACCTCAAAGCAGCAGCGAACAAGGGCTGGCCTGAGGCACTGCATGCGCTGGGGGAGCTCTACCGCGGTGTTGCTCATCCAACCTACATCAATGTCAAAGAGACCGCGTGGGAGCACCACCAACATGCTGCGAGCGCGTCAAGTGGGGCAGCATCCACCGCAGGAGGTGCTTTTGGAGGAGGAGCGTCATCGACGGGAGGTTCAAACCAGGGCTCGACAGTAAGCGAGAAGCTCTTGCAGCAGGTTGTGAAGCGTGATTGCACCAAAGCGGCGCGCTACTTGGCACTGGCGTGCGACGGGATGCGATCTCGACGCGACCAGTTAGCACGCGAAGCGGAGGCGTTGGAAGAGAAGCTGCTGACCACGCTAATGAGCGGGTTCGATCAACAGCTGGGATCGAAGCTGCTACTTTCGCGCTGCCTGCAGCAATGGCGCACGCTCTCGCGTCGAAGGCGGGCTCTGCTTCGCAAACTGCTAGCGCGGTACGAGAATAATATGCGTCGGCCTGCCTTAAGAATCTGGCAGCAAAGTGTCCTCACCCGTTTCTTGCGTTTGCGCTCAGAGCTGGAAACCCCTCCCTTCAGTCAAGCTCGCTGCACGGCTCTGTGTTTCGCTCACTGGCGCTTTAGCATAGTAACGATACCAAAGCGCTTGACGCGAATGATCCTCGCTCGCACCTCCAATGCTTCTAGCGGAGTTCCTACGCGCGGATTTAACATGCATGAACGCCGGCGGCTCCGCGGCATAATGCAAAGTTGGCGGTCTGGCACGGTGCAAAGGCGAACTTCCGTCTTTCTGCTTGTGTCCGTCATCACGCACAGCTTGCGTCGTAAGCTCTGCGCGCCGGTCGACAATCGTCCTGCGAGTGCAGTTGTAGCAGAGAACTTCCTAGAGAAAAAAGACGGCTCAGCTTCGTCTTCTTCCAGTAGTACTGGAAAAGATAGCTTTGTGTTTCCGTCGCCTGCCACGCGCGCACTGCGAAGAGGCAGCAACGTCCTCCAGAAGCTACTCACGCGCAAGATTAAGGATGGAGTGTTTCAGATGCTGGCGAGGAAATCGCAGTACACGAAAGCACTAGGTGAGCTTCGTCAGGAGATGGATCGTCTAAAAGACCTGAAACAAATGTCAGACAATGATTTGAGGGCGACTTTGGCACGACTCGAAAGAGTAGAGAAAGAGGCTGAAACATGGCGGACGCGCTACGAGCAGGAACATGAACTAAACCAACGCCTGTTGGAGTCAGGTATGGCGTTAAATTCTGAGGGCACAGCTTTCTCTGGGAATGCTCTTGGGTCAAGAATGGCTGCTCCTGAGGTGATGCCGCAGAACTTTCTCACGTCTAGTACACGAGCACTTCCGGGTCAGCAGCTACATGCCTACAACAACATAAATTCGTTCTCTGCGATTGAAGATGCTATTAGGTATGATTATAACTGCTCCGAAGATGCGGCTCCTGATCAACATCTTCACGATGGACTTATTTTGTCATCAGCGACTCAGTCTCACCAGCAGCAAGCTCTTCTAGGACCACGTCAATCTGCAAATGCGTGGGTGAATCCGTGTCTGAGTTTTGTGAAAGGTGGCGATGCTGGGTCGCAACATCCGGTTGCTGGTACTATGGATCTGATGGGCAGTGCTGCAACAACCGCAGTGCCAGAGCCAGGGTATGGCCGTGCAAGTCCATCATTCGCGAGCCGCGGAGCTTTTGGCGGAAGTACTAGTGGGCTATTTTTGTCGAGAAGTGGCGGTCCCTCCACCAGTATGAATCCTGCCATCGCATCAAGCCCGCCGTCAATGCCGCTAGTAGCTGGAAGCAGTATGACCACACCGGCTCTCTCTAGTACCGTACCGAATTTGAACGTGGTTCAACTGGGTACAACGACAATGATGGAGCCCGCAGATGGTGGTGGCGATGTACAGCAATTTAATACGGTGGAGCAACAATCTCTGCAATATCAGCAGCACGATCCCCCAAGAGTGATCGAGAGTGATCCTCTTCAACGCTCTAGGTCGGCTGATCGAACCGCGAGACAGCGTAGTGCGGAGCGGCGATCAGGAACAGCTCGAGCTCTGCTGGAGGACCTGCGGTCAGAAGTGCGTCACCTAGCAGAAAAGAGCCAGCAGAGCCTCTCAGTCTCTGTGAGATCTACCTCGGGTGATGTTTTTCTAGGCCGCAGCAATGCTGATGGTATGGCATTGACGAACCCACACTTACCAATGCCTGGTTTATCCACATCTCTACCTCCGAGTCAAGCACGTATCAAGCAGTCATCTCCAAACACCGCCAGAAACAATGACAGTGCATTAATATCGAGTACCGCGGTGTCGCTAAACTTGACAACTGCAGGCACAACAAGCTACAATTTGGCAGGCAACTTACAACAAAGTCGTGACCGGCTAGGCGGGAGTAGTGCGAGTCAAGAGCTCGAGTCGCCGACCACAAGACGTATTTTTCGCAGATCTGTTCTTTCCGCGAGCGAACGCCTACAGCGTGTCCTGGAAAAAGAAGAATCTACGTCAGCAGAACAGCGCAAGAGCAGAGATCGTCGTGGTCATACATCACATCCAGAGTCTCCTAGAAACAATCGACATGACAACATGAGAATAACTTCTAGCAGAAGTCGGGATAGAAAATACATCCGTGATGAGATGAATGTCGTGAATTATCATGATCAGCAAGAGTACCAAAGGACGGAACGGATTCAGGATGTCTTGGAGACAGGGTCATCTGCCAGCAGTAGTTCCTTTGCCAGTTCCACGACTGATCATCTGGATTCTGCACGCCAACCCTTGGCCCTCGACGCAGAGAATTCGGCATCAGCATCGAGCATGTCCTTGGAGGAAGAAGACGAGCATCTTCCCGAGAGAGCCCAGGGCGCGTTGCGCTCTCTTAGAGCCAACAGTAGTCGACATGGTGGCATGGAGAGAGCATCGTCTTCCAAAGCAGAGTATCATGCGAAAGCTAGATCTGGTGCAGCGATGAACGACTATATCGGAGGTGCGCATAATGGTACAGGTAATAAAGTCGTCTCGTTCGCTCGTGGTCGTGCCGCTTCGACGCCATCGACGAACGGAGTATCTCGCGTTCAACGGAAAATGTTTCCGTTGGGAACATCAACGTCCTCGTGTAGGACATCAAAGAAGTCACACGTCGACCGCGCAGGACGAGGAAGCACTACCGTGGCAGGAGGGCGCTCATCTCTGTTTGTCAACGACCCAGGAGCAACAGGTCGACGAGCACGGGACCACACGCAGGACACGATGGCAATGGCCGATGCGCCCAACTCAGCGCAAAAATTTCTCTATCATGAAGGGGAGCACCTTCATGAAACGCAAGTTTCCAAAGAACCCTCACATTTTTCCAAAGATACACTCCACGCTTCTCAAGAGATGTCGTGGCAGTCAACACCGCAGACGCGAACTATTCTGTACTGCTAGTGAAAAGTCCTGGGTAACTTCGCCAGTTGCACTGAGCCGAGTGGTCTGGCAGTTGTTTCTGTTTGGTTTTTATAGCCAAAGCAGAGATAGATGTGGTCTTCATCTTGCGTCTTATAATATATGTACCAGGGAGGGAGGCCCCCCTCTGTGGATGGATCTGTGGTGGACCACGCCAGAGGGGTCCAGCCTTGCCACCTTTGCCAGGTCTGTCGAGGGGCTGCCGGGCGAGAATGCCTCAAAGCGCCCACTTCGTTCGGACCCCGTCCCGCTTCTTGCATGTACCCTACAGACCTGGCAAAGGTGGCAAAGGCTGGGCCCTCTTGTCGTGTTGCGTGTACCCGACAGAGCTGGCAGACGAGGCAAGGCGGGAACCCGCCCCCTTGGCGTAGGGTTGGGCACATGCAACGCGCCAGAGGGGTCCACCCTTGCCACCTTTGCCAGGTCTGTAGTGTTGGGCACATGCAACACGCCAGAGGGGTCCACCCTTGCCACCTTTGCCAGGTCTGTCGGGTACATGGAGCACGCCAAGGGGGTGGGTCCCGCCTTGCCTCCTCTGCCAGCTCTGTCGGGTACATCCAACACGACAAGAGGGCCCAGCCTTTGCCACCTTTGCCAGGTCTGTCGGGTACATGCAAGAAGCGGGAAGGGGTCAGAAGTGGGCGCTTTGAGGTCTTCGCGCCCGGCAGCCCCTCGCCAAAAGGGTCCGGGGCTGGGAGGCCCCCGCCCCCTCAAAAAGTTAGATCGGGGGGGGGCCTCCCGCCCTGAGCCCTGGAACATATATAATATATATTTATAAATATTGATGTTTTCAGGCTTTGCGCTGCTTGCTATTGCCACAGCAGAAATAAGACCTCGTGCCTGTCGATGTCGTCAGCTTTAGACCTTGTTGACTTTGCTTTGTACATTACTTCGAGCTACTAGATTTCTATTTCACATCCCACGGGTTCTTGTTTATGCGCAAAACTAAAACAACGCACCATACATTCTGTAGCTAGCATGCAAGAAGTTCATTTTGTTTGATCCTGCACTAGAGTATTCATTCACATTAAGAAGAACTGCATGAAGCAGTACATAGATGCTTATCCTTGTTTGAATATCTTTGGGAAAGAGGGGTCGGTCGCTCTAGATCCTCTCAGAAACGCGAGCGCTTTCATCAGGCACATGGGGCACAATCGCATCCTCAAGATATTTGAGGCGATGTCTGTAGTCAACTAGCATTTCTGTTGTTTGCTCTTTACTTAAAGATTGTTTTTGTTTCCTCGCTACTGGCTGTCCGCAGATCCCCTCTAGTGATTCGGGTGAAGGAAACCGCATGAAGGAAAGCATTCGTACTCGCCTGTGCTCAGCACTGTTGCCTTCAGAAACATGGTTGATTTGTGGTGCATTCACTTGACGAGAATAGGCTTCACCGAGTCAAGTTTTTATCCCATGATGACGCTTGCGCCGGCGCCTCAAGCTCAACCTTGTTAGACGAGAAAAATCGGTCATTCACGGTAACGGTAGCATGACGATGAGCTACAGTATTCAATGTTGAGGAAAATCTGCATCATGCGACTATCTTTGTCACTGGAAAACAGATTCGCACTTTCGAAGACGGAGTCAAGGAAAGGTGTCACAAGATCACGCGCATGACTGTGTGGTCGGTTTTGATTGATAGATCTTGACATGCGTGCAGGTCTCTGTGAGGATGGCAACGGCGTGCCGTGAAGGCTCGTCACGAATGTGATGTCTAAGTCACTGTAGTTGCTATTTCAGTCTTGACTCTCTACGTTATGTGGGCGTGGCTTGGATACTAAAAATTCGTAGATCTACTTCACGCGGTTCTTGTAAAGATGCGATTAGAGAAGTAAACTCACACTCACAATTTCAAGTCGGCACGCTTTAATAAATAATATTTGCATCTACCCTGCCCGTCGAGAATTTTTAGGTACAAATGACTACCGAAGTTAGGTACTTGATGATGACTCAAAAATTCAAGCAGATTATTTCCATCATCTCCCTCAGTCATAAATTAAATTGCTTCCTCCACCCTCAATAAAAAAAGCCGAGACTTGTACGCATCTCCAAATCCAGTTGTGGCAGAAATTTATTGGAAGTGAAGACATAAGTATGTAATTCAGATATTGAAGTGAAGGAGGTATACTGACCTCCCCATTAAAATTAATTCGACGGTAATATCCCACAGCTAGTATATTTATACTATCGATCCGATTCCCGCTTTTGATTATGATTCAATAATTTTTCGATGTATTATATATATATAGTTAACTATTCTCATGTTGTTATGGACGTGTATGGTTCTGGTATTTGGTAACCTGAATTTGATCCTAAGGGTTCTCTTCTTGTTTTCCCTTAGGATCAAACTCAGGTTACCAAATACCAGAACCATTCAGGACGGAGGCTGATTGAGTTCTTTTTGTGTAATCGATCCATTGAGTATTTGATTTTGAATTATTTCGTCGTTCATACATCGTTGATACTACGATATACACGACAATCATGATGAAGGATGCAGAAAATGAGACACCTGCGAGCGGAAAAGAGGATCGCTCATCTAGCTCCAAGCACATACCATGCGAGGGCGGAGTTGGAAGTACATTTCCATCCTCGACAGGTAGCAGAGCGCAGGTAGCGTGGAAGTTTGAACCTGGTGATACCGTTGTCTTCCACGGTCGGCGCATTGGGTCACCAAAGCCGACGGTATTGGAAAGGGACCCGAATGGCAGGAGCTCCTCCAGGATTTATGCCGTCGTGCACAGCACTTTGCCCGACACTGAGCAGTACCTTTTGTTACATCTCGCAGAGCTGCGCAGGGGGTCCAACTCATCAAAGACAAAAGGAAGACAAGGAGAATCGCAACCCCAACATGCTGAAGAAGGATCTACTTCTAAGGTGCACGACGAAGAAGGAGAGTACGTGCCGCTAGTCGTGGAACACCCTTCGCTTGAAGAACATGCCAGAAAAAAGCCCCATAACAGTGCAGCCCACGCTGCACTGCGGGCGTGGAGGAGAGAAGATACGAAGAGCATCGCAGCACGTGCTACCTGTTGTGAAGTGCTTCGCGACGACGACACGAAAAAACCAAAGGAATTTTCCCAGAAACTAAAGGACGAGGATTTTGAAAAAAAGTTTCAGCAAAGTTCAGATAGTCTTGGGACAGCTACGAGCACTGCAGCGGAAGAAAAATCGAGTGACAGTCAAGCTGCGCTTCAAGAAAAACTCTCTTGCAACGACGGCAAAGGAGTTGACACGCAAGAAAAGGAGCCCGAAACCAAATGCAAACTTGGAGATGGCACTCGCCTGCACTCTCAAGGAGGTTCTCAATCCCCGTCGACGAAAGCTTCTCGGCCTCGTGCACGTCGGTCGTACAAAAAGGAAGACCCGGTAAAGTTGTGGAAGCTGAAGTGGCGTGATAAGGTCTTTGTTCCGGACAGACCGTCTGCCACTGCAGTACGCAGTACTCGTGGAATATACGCGGCCGCGAAGAGTGAGGCGTGTGCTGAAGGGAAAAGGAAGGGGAGCGCTACCTCTGGAAGGACGAATATTCAACAGCAAACGTCGTTTGACAGACGCGAACCGCACATAGAAAAGTTGACCCTTGCATCATTGTGCCAGGAACGGGACCGCGTTGAGCTCGAGACCGATGCTGACTGCAGATTAAGACAGGACCTGCAGCTGTATCATATACATATTTGTAGACATTTTCGATGAATGTATGAGTCTGCATCTTAAAGTTCAAGTTTGAGAGTCTTTGCGTTTCTATTATCTAAGTTTGTACATCCACGACATTGTGATATTATTTGGATCTGGCTTTGCTTTTTCTTGATTTTTTGTTGCGTTTTCTTGATTCTTCATTTGGTGTCTTGTGGCCGGACGATGAGAAGTACGCTGAATCGCCCTCGATAGTTGCGGCGAGAGGAGCACATCGCGGGAAAGCCGCTGAGGCTAACGAAGATGTCACCGAGGTGGATGGGTTGTACTCAGGCTCGGGTGCACTGGGGACAAGGCGACTCGACATGCACCTTGACTCGCGCAAGAAAGTATTGCTGGAGCAGCAGGAAAGGGCCCAGAAGGATAGACGAGCAGGGCGTGAGCCCAAGAAGCGCAAGGGCAACAATCTGCATGGTGAAACGGACGAGGCGGAATGGACAGTTTCCGACTACGGGCGCCACCCGTGCAGTGCGGTCCTGCAGGATCTGGCGAGAGGTTTAGATCGTGACGAACGTGGTGTCCCAAAATTAATTAGTGCGTTCATTCAGCCTGAAATGGTAAACAGCTTGTGCACTCCGGAACTGGGAGATCTCACGAACCTGAATTCCAGCGCAGCTGTCTCGGCTGCGAAAGCTGTTCGTGGGACAAAGTCGCTGCCGCAGAGAGGTGACTACCCTTTGCCGACCTTCAGAAAGTATCCCTCACCCTCGTTTGCGCTCGAAAAGATTCCTGAAGACCAAGCGCTGTCTCCATGTGTCGATCATGCTTGTGTAGGCGGAGCCGTTGTCACGTCGGAAGCTGATGGTGGCAGTGAATGCAGCCAGAAGGACCCCACAGCCGCCGATATTAAAGATTCTTCCGTATTACCACATAGATCATTGACTAAGCGAAACCCCACGTTCGGCACGCAAACGACGAAGCTCCTTTATGGCACGCACAGTCGGTCCCAACATGATAACGAGGTGGATGGAAATGCGAATGCGACCACAGGGAAGCCGGAGTTGTTACCGCGTCAGGAGAACAATTTCAGTGCGGGGGTGACACAGGCTCTAGTTTTGGATGTCACCGAAGAGACTCGTCGTGCTGCCAAGGACAGTAGAATGTTGACGGCTCCCAGCGTCGATTTAGAGCCGCCTCTAGTTGCGACCAAGATCGTGGATTTGCATGTTGTTGCGAACCAGCGATCTCAGCTGTGGCTTCGGCCACAAGTGAATGAGAAAAATTGGGTTTTACATTGTCTTGCGCGTCGAAAAGCCTGTGACAGACTCCTTACCCGCGAAACTGTGGCTTTGCGACAACTGCTGGCCCTTCGTGCCTGGCGGCTGTGCCTTTGGGAGCATCGCAGCGATTTGCGGGATTCCCGAGCACTCAGAAAAGTGGACGATAGGATAGCAAGCGACTCCTTGGCCAAGAAGAAGGGTGTGATTTCTGAAGTCTCCTGGCGCTCGACTGGCTTAGAGGACGATCTTCGAGATCTTTTGCCGGCGCACGAACTAGATGGCCTTTTTGATCAAGAGTGTGAAAGCTCCGGGCCTTTGCCTTACAGGACCGGTTGGTACATAAACCAACAACAGGAATTCAGATTCGCACCACCGGATGAGGTAGACGTGGTGGAGGCTTTCGAAGATCCATCAGCAGCGAGGACCGGCGCACCCAGTGGTAAAGAGCGCCTGTGGTCTTGGCGTGCTGCTTCTGAGTATCTGAAGGCTGAGGTTCCTGGTCGAGAAGAACAGGTGGAGCGCTACGTACGGCTCGCGCGTTGCACAAAATTGTTTCGTTGGATTCAACAAAATGATCGTAAGATTGTACACCAGATTCGGATTCGACAAAAAAGCGTGCGTCGTTTGCTGTGGTTGAAGGACCAAGCCAATATTTTCAACGAGAGAAATTTCAGCGGCTCGGATCTTGTTCCAGAAGAGCTGCGGCATGTCATCGCGGCAACCTCGCCAGACGGGGTGGCTTTGAAGCTGGCGGAAGAAGAGGTCGAAGACGAACGAAAAAAGAAACGACGAAAAGCCGCAGTGGATGCGGAGACGGGGGAGCCTCATCAAGCAGAACTTGAAATGCAGGAACAATACAACGACCACGAAACTGAGTCCGGGAACGACGGGCTGGACATTGATCTTTCTCGTGCTGAGGGTGAAGAGGTCTCTGGAAGCGAGAAAAGAGTGATTGTTGCAGGTAGTACTAGATATCAGACACCAAGTGAGCGACAGGCCAGAGAACAAAATAAACACCTGCAACATTTGCTGGGAGATCCAGGAACATCGGACGAAGACGTTTTTTTAGATAACCTCTCACGCGTGTCGTCGCTGAATGCCGTTGAAAAAGGCGAGCTTTACGCCCTATTACACGACGAGGAGAGCGAAGGTGAAAAAAAAGCTGACCTCGAGTGTGGGGTTCTGAAGAAAACGCAGAGAGCTTATGAAAAAAGAGCCGAAACTTGGAGAAAACGACTCAACACACGACTAGTGGAGCGGGGCAGGAAAAAGCTTGTTGGCGCCTTACCGCAAAATTACTTTCCCGAGGAGCACCTCGGATTGCCTCGCAGACTTCTCAGTAGACACATGAAGCGGCTGCAGCTTTATCGGCAAAGGGTAGAGCAGATGCGTGAAAAAATTCCTCTCTATAATGAGAATGAGATGTCTCCTGAGGAAGGCGCTAAGGAACCTGAAGAGCTGCAGGAATTGGCCGACCTGGATGAGGAGAGCACATCTT